TGGTGTAATGCATTTATCCTCTAAAACTTCCATCTTTGTGCATGAAATATAACATCATCAACTGTTGCGTCAGCAGATGTAGCGGCTAAGCTTGTAATTAATTTGGCAGGAAGTCCGATTTGTTGGAATTTGCGATCATATTTATAAACATGATTCATAATCTTTTCATAATTTTCATCAGTTATCTTTTCATAAACGTAATTTTGTAAATCAGCAACTCTTAACGGGTCAACCTGACAAAATACTAAAGTATCCCTGAAAACATAATATTTAAGAATGATATCACCAAATGATTTAGGATAATCATCGAACGCCTGAAATGCTAACAAATCATTTACCGGAATAATCATATCAAAGTGACATCAACTTCTTCATTTGCTTTCTTGAAAACTTCTGAAGGGTCAATATATTTACCACATACTGAGTTATCATATTTTTGAACATTATTATATAACGAATGAACAAACTTTTTAACTTTCCTTTCTGATTTTGGTTTATATGTTGCAAATGCGAAAGATTCACGGCGCAATCCATCTGAAGATAACCAGCATCACCTCTTTCGGTTTCTACTTCTAATTGTTTAAAGCTTTGATTTGATGATTTGTAACCAACGAATAAACGCATGCATTTAAAAGTGGCATCACATGTGAAAGCTTTATTTGAAACTAGAGTTGCTTTAACTTTGCGTTTAATATATGTGTCACCTAATTGGTTCACATCATGAGCCGGATTTGTAATTCTTAAATGAGTTTGTTTATCATCAAATATGGAGCATCAGAGTCATAGCATGAACTTTCAAGCTCTCTATAATATCTTCTACCATCATTCTTTGCGAATATTTCATTTATCTTTTCGAATGAATGAAACACATTTCCATTAATCGGTTTAGTGTTTGGCACTAAATAGTTAGTCGTCATTTATTAATAAATAAAAAATCAAAATTAAAAGATGAAAATGAATTTTTAATTTTAATGAAATAATCAACTATGGCTGCAGGTATATTTAAGAAACTGTGGGATAAAGTAAAAAGAGGGGCGAGTAAAGTTTGGGAAACATTGAAGAAGGGGGCAAATTGGATATTTAAGAATAAAGAAGCAATTAGTGACGTTGCTGAATCAATAACGCCAAAAGCTGCCCCAATAAGAGAAATTTTAAATAAAGGAGAAAAAGTTTATCAAAGACTACAACCGATACTAAGATAAAAATAATATTTATTTATTTTTCCACTAACCACCCCCTATTTTATTAAGTATTCCTTCAGCAATTCCACCAATTGCGTTACCTGCTTGTGCTCCCATCGCCGGATTACCTGCTTTAGTACCTAATACTCCACCTATGATAGTTCCTGCCGTTTTCGCTACTGGTGCCAAAAAGTTTGCAACGGGTTTAATAATATTTTTATGAACCCAACCCGCAGCTTTCTTAATTCCATCCCATAATTTTTTAAAGAATCCTGCCGCCATTTCTGATTTAATATTAATTAAAAAATATATTTCATCACTTATATTCTAATTTTTATTTAATGATAAATGAAACCGATTTTAAAAATAAATGAAACAGAGGAGGAAGAAATAAGTGAAAGTGAAAATGTTCAACAAAAAATAAACGTTGTTAAACCAATTACTGAAATAAAAATTTTTTCATCTGTTGAAGAATTTAATGACTATTATGCTAATAATAAAAAATTATTTGAAGAATTGACAACGTGTAAATTGAATAAAATGTTTAAAGTTGATGGATTCAAAATTTCAAAAATAAAGGGGGTGGTTAGTTTGAAATCTATTCCTCAATCAAGAATCACCTCATTAATGAAAATAGATGATTTAACAAAAAGAATAGAAGAGATTGAAGAAAGAATGAATCAAATAATTGATTTCATAAATTCAAATAATCATTAGTTTCTAATTTCTTTTTACTCGTTTATGAGGTCTTTGATTATGACTTCATTGATTCCATTCAGGATTTAAACAATGTTTAATTAATCGCGGAATATCTGACATCATCTATATATAGCTTCTTTTATAAAAGATGAAAAAATAAATTATTTTAAAATTAATGTTAATTTTTTAATGATTTATAAATAAATATATTTTAATGCATCGTCTATATATAGATGTAACAAAAAAAGTCACACAACCCTTCATATCCTACTACTATAAAATGTTTAAAGTTGATGGATTCAAAATTTCAAAAATAAAAGGGGTGGTTAGTTTGAAATCTATTCCTCAATCAAGAATCACCTCATTAATGAAAATTGATGATTTAACAAAAAGAATAGAAGAGATTGAAGAAAGAATAAATCAGATAATTGATATCATAAATTCAAATAATCATTAGTTTCTTAAAGTTCAATGTTGAACTCATCAAATTCATCTTCATCATTACCATTACCATTACCTTTAGCGAGTTTATTTACTCTTTCAACTTTATCTTTTGATAGTCTTTCGTTTAATTTTTTCTGAAGTTTTTCGTTACCAAGTTCTAAAATTTTACATGGATGATATTTAAACCCGTTAAATTCTTTTTCCTCAGTTTTAATCATTAATCTACAAAGAACTTTAGTGAGGTGGTTTTGTTGTTTAAACCATTTATCCTTAATATTTGTTATAAATTCAATATCCGGAATTAATTCCCAAATTTTTGAATTTTCGATTAATTTACCATCAAATGCAAAAGCAATAGGTTTAATATTAAACTTACCTTTATAAAATAAACTTTGTACGCAATCATCAAAATAAACGTCTACTTGTTTAACCTGGGTGAGAATTGGTGAAAGTTTATCCATTAATTGATTCACAGTCACGAATTTTGATTCACTCATTTCTTACGAATTAAAAAAATAAATTATTCAAAAATGTAAGACATGAATTTTTAAAGTTTATTTTTTATTCATGAAAATAATTATTTCTAATTTCTTTTACTCTCTCGTACATACTAGATTTGAAGAATTCGGAACTTTTACCATAATCTCCTAAATGTTTTCTTATCCCTAACGTGTGCCAGTTATTATATGAAACTGAATAAACTTTATCTTTATCTTTACACCTTTCATCACTTCCAATATATTTATATCTCAGTTTTGATTTAGCATTTTCATATTCATTAGCGTTTAATAATTCACAGTCTTCCTTTTTAAATTGATGTTTAAGATATTCAGGATTTAATACTCTACGTTTATATGCTCCTAACTTAGTTCTAAAGGTTTTTCTACAAAATTTAGGAATTCCATCCTCTTTAATGTCATCAATGATTTCCATTTCATTATTTTCAATTTCTTCTTCTCGTTTATGAGGTCTTTGATTATGACTCCATTGATTCCATGAAATTAAATATTCTTTATCATTATATTTATACCTCATTAGCTTATTTTGGCTTTCATATTCATTTAATAATTCACAATCTTCATTTTTAAATTGAAGTTTAACCCATTCAGGATTTAAACAATGTTTAATTAATCGCGGAATATCTGACATCATCTATATATAGCTTCTTTTATAAAAGATAAAAAAATAAATTATTTTAAAATTAATGTTAATTTTTTAATGATTTATAAATAAATATATTTTAATGCATCGTCTATATATAGATGTAACAAAAAAAGTCACACAACCCTTCATATCCTACTACTTACGTATGAAGTAGTTTCTCGGAGTTACATACCAGTTTTTTGAATAACTAAGAGGTTAGTAATATCCAAGAGGAATTAGAACATTAATTAATAAAATGTTTTTTTTTGGTTTCCGAAAAGAAAAGCTTTCATTTCAATTGTATAAAAATAAAACAAATCGTAAAAAGGGAAATATAATAGGAGAAGATAATTGAATGAAATGATCGATAACCTTTTAATTTTCAAAAACTTCAACCATTAATATCTTTGTAATTAATTAAATAAAAGTATTATTAAAACATTTTTTGTTTGAGTTTGAAAAATTGAAAGATTTTCTGTGTAGTTCAAATATAATAATCAGCTACTAAATATCATTTTATCAAAGTTATATATAAAAAACGTTACAATGCTGGAAAAAGTCTGAGAAAACTTTTGATGATTCCTACAGGTAACATGAAATCAAGCAGGTTGACAAAGACATATGTAAATTATAATTGGTCGCAAATTCTGTAGAAAAAATCCGAATGTTTGACTACAACTAAAATTAGCTTTAATTTCATAATACAATATAAATTATTCCATTTATTCATATTTTTATCGCATATTTTCTGTGAACCCTAAGAATTTTTTTCTAAATAAATTTGAATCATATAGAAAATACGATTTTTATTTTAACGAAGCAAAATTAGTTTTCAATATTCAAAATTTTCAAGTTAATTTTTTGAACAAAAATGCATGCTTTATCTTTAACTATTTGGATAAGCCTTGGTCGAAAATTGAATTATTATTTAAAAAGCTCGGATCCGCCAAAAAAAATTTTACTTGCCTTTTCAAAAATAATCTAAACTTCTACTTTGATTATAAACCCATGATTTGCGCACAACCTTTGGGAAATATAAATATAATAATATTAGACAGAAGGAACCATTTTATTCAAAATTGCGATTATTCAAGATTTTATATGTTTAAGCTATAAAAATCTTTCATAGAGGTAAGCCTGCTATATTTTATAATATTCTTACTTTAAAATCAATAAATCTTTTCAATATTTTATAAATCTAGCATTTTGGCTTAGAAGATATAAATGACTTGATTTTATTATGCTTTGTATATTGAGATGTACTCTACTTTTGGTCATTTATTTAGAAGATAATTTTCAATTTCATGGTTATTTTTCAAATCCTAGTATTATGCTTGTATTTAAAAACAATACTTTTGTAGATCATTATTTTGCATCAAAAAGCTTATATTTCAAAATCTATACATTTATTACAAACAACTAATATTTCAAAACAATAATTTTTGGTGGTGTTTTTCTCTTCTGAGATGGGATAATTTGTACTGCAGGATGCACTTGGAGAGATTTCCTCATGAATGGCGCCTGCTGCCTGCATTAGATTAGAGATGGCAAAAGGCTGCAAGCTGGGCAGGATTCTTTTCTTTCTGGTTTGCCATTCTTCTTTAATAGTGGAACTCTTCCGAAAAACTTGTGGTCATTTTTAATTAATTTATAGGAAACAGTATTGTCGTTAATAATATTCATTTCCAAATCAGCCTTAACATTTGATGAAGAAATTCCATATCTAACTAGATCTTCTTCAATTCCAAATTCGTCATAGTAAATATTTTTAAGACGAGCTTCAGTTAATAAAATTTCATCACGAATCCAAGGATGCTGGCAGACTTCTTCAATGTTAATTCTTTCTTTGGGGTTCTTGACTAGAAGTTTGGTTATCAAATCAATAAGTTCATTTGAAATTTTACCTTCAAATTGAGGTGGCTTATAAATAATCGCTCTAGCAAGCTTTGTAATGTTTTCACTAGCGAAGGGGAAGATTCCAAAAACTAAAGTGTATAATAAGATTCCAGAGGCCCAAATATCTGCTTCAAAACCATATTTTTGGCCCATTAATATTTCTGGAGAAGCATATTGAGGTGATCCGCAAAGGGTTTCTGTTAAATGATCTTTTTGAATAAATTTCGAAAGACCGAAATCAATAATTCTGATATTGTTGTGATCATCTAATAATATGTTTTCTAACTTGATATCTCTGTGGGCGATGTTCTTTTCTTTGTGAAGAAATCTAAGCACGGTTGCTAATTGTGCAAATATATGCTTAGCTGTTGACTCACAAAGCTTTCCTTTTTCGCATAACTTGTTAGTTAAACAGCCATTTCTAATAATTTCCATCACAATGTAAATGTATTTTTCCGATTCTATTATTTCGTAAAGATCAATAATAAATGGGTGTTGAATGGAAGCTGAAATTTCCATTTCTCTCTGTATGCGTGTTTTGTGGTTCTCATCGTCCTTTATTTCTTTTGGAATCATCTTGATTGCAACAAAACAATTTGTTTTCTTATGAATAGCAGCATATACTTGGGCAAAGCCTCCACTGCCCATGCAGTACTTAACTGCATATTTCGAGGTCACGATATCTTCCATACTTTGAGAAATATAAATTGATTACAGATTTTTGTTTTAGTATAAAAATTGAGTTAAGAAAATTGAAAGAATTATTTTTTGTGATATGCTCTCACAAAAAATAATGGTTAAGTGGCGCGACCCAATTTGCAATTCATATGACTGCAATATAAAATTCAAATAATGAAGAGTAGTTGAGATTCATTCAAAAATTGATTGTTTTTTGAATATTTATAATTTTGTGGGATTTTTTTTGAAATTTGTTAGGTTAATTACAGTAGCCAACTTAAATTATTTCACGTTATTTATTGCTTAAATATTAGTTGGCGATTGGTACAGGCATGTTTCTAATCTTTTCTTATAAGAGTTTTTAAAAATTAATATCATCAGATATACATATAGAGCAATCATTTCTTTTCCTAATTGTCCAGCTATACAATTTTAATAGAATTCAAAATTTAGCTTTCATGTATTCTACAAATTGACCAATGAATAAAAATAACTCATAAAAATTTTAGTAGGCCAATCCCCGTTAACTTTATAAACGCATTGAAAATATTTGAGAAGTATTTTTTCTAACTAATCGTCCAACTTTATATATTTTAACTCTTCATATGATTTGCATGCATTCCATAAATTTTCGATAACTTTAACTTTTCAATTTTTTATAACAAATTTATCAAAAGTCATTACTTTTGAGGATACTTTCAATTTCATAAAATGGCTATGGTAATGTTTTTAACTATATAATTCATATTGTGATACAATATTATAGGCAATTATATAGACATTATCGGAAAAATAGATAAAACGTATTTTCTGTTTTGATTCAATATTTCTCTTTCTTATTAAAATATATCTAATGCATTAAGACATCGGAATCTGCATTATTTTTTCCATTGTTGAAGATTTTTGAAAATTTATTTTCAAATACACGCCAGCCCAAATTTTATGAGGATGTTTTATTGTCGTCTGGGAAAAGTGACAAAATTATTATTGTCGTCTAAAAAGGTGACAAATTATTATTGTCGTCTGGAAAAGTGACAAAATTATCATTGTCGTCTAAAAAATAGATTTTTCAAGCATGTTTCGGTACCTAAATAAAGGAAGAACATCAATTCCATCTATGTATATAGTATGCAAACACGCATGATATATGGAGTAGCTCTTTATCTGGCTAAAAATCCTATTATTTGAAAATTCGCATTGTCGTCTAAAACCGCCAGACGACAATAATAATACCCCAAATTTTATTCTATACTTCCTTTAGAAATCATTATTTGATATCAAATACACCAAGGTTATTACTTAAATGCATATTTTTCAAGATTTCAAAACATTATTTCACGATTTTTCAAAATTTCGAATTATTTTCTGACATGTCAATGCTATCTTATTCGTTTTCTCAATCCAAAATTAAAAATTCTATTTTTTCATCAATTTTTAGCGGATAATTGATAACAGTTTTCATTAAAAATTTCAACTATAATTCACAAGCAATCCAAATCAAATGAAAGGCCTTAAATATATTGATAAACTTTACAAATTGTAAACCAAAATTTTGGTTCAATATTTTGCTAAAATCATTTCATAATGTCCCATTTTAAATCATCGGTTACAGAAGACTTAATCACCCTTACAGTTATTCCGATTATTAATGGAAAAACAGAGCCAATGGCCATTCAATATGACAGAACAACCGATATAACGGTAGAAGAAATTGTAGCACAACTTTCAGTCACATACCATGTCAATCCTTCAACTATACAGATGAGAATACCCGATGCTGAAGATAGTCCTATGTATTTAGTGCAGCATACTGCAAAAATTTCTATGATTAGAGATTCATCCACTCTTTATGCAATTATTAAGACAGAATGATCTTGTTTAGTAAATAGATATTCTTTCTATCCAACTTAATCAGAAATTTTACGTATAATTCAAAATATTTTTATTGATATTTTGAATTTCATTATAAAAACTTTATGAATATCAATTTTTTAACATCTAATAAATATACTTTTTTTACTTTAAATAATTAGCATATGGGTTTGGTGCTGGTTCTTCTTGATTTGTTACAACAACTGGGGAAGGGGGCGGAACACCATATTGTACAGCAACAGATTGATCTGGAGCAAATGCTCCTGGGGCATAAGCTTGGGGATCATGGTAAGTTTGAACATTTTGTGGTTGTTGCTGGAAAGGTGCAGCGTAAACATATATCATTGGCTGCTGTGGTAGGTTTTGTTCCTGAACATTGCCTGGGTATTGGGCAAGCAAAGGTTCTTGATATTGACCAGTAATTTCTTGTTGCTCGGCAACTTGGGGAGTGTTCTGCTTTTTCTTTGCATTGCAATTCCTACAGTAGCATGCACACATAGTTAGAGAACAACATAGGATGAATAAAATCAGGGAGCTTATTGGAATAACAATTACATCAGTACGGCTAGATTTGTATGTAGGCGTACGGCTTTGTGTTCTACAGCGAGAATAACTTGATTGATAACATGGTGTAGGACTCCTTGTTCTGTAGCTTGTCCTTGGTGTTGGAGATTTGGTTGGTCGTTGTGTTGGGAATGGAGCTGTTTTATTTGGATTAAAAGTGAAGTTTTTCGTTGGGGTTCTGGTATAAATAATTATTGGTTTCGGAATTTTTGTGATGACTGGTTTAGTTGTTATTGGGATAACTGTTTTATGTGGGTTTGTTGGATCTATTGGTTTAAGTGTAGGTCTTGAATAAGTTCGTCTCGTCTCGTAATTTCTTGATTGTTGGTACGCACGATCTCTGTTACTATTCATGTGATGATTTGGGTCAATCGAGAAAGTACAACGTGCGAGTAATAAGATAAAACACATGAATTATAATTATGATTAAATTTTGAATCAGGAAGATCAATATCCGATATTTATGGAGAAAATAAGATTGGGGGCGAGCATCATAAGAAAAATTTTCGAAAAATAGGGGGTGTTAGTATACTCAACCCCCTCATTAATTATCGTTTCTAGAGGAATAGGAACAGAGGCCTTTTTTCAGGTAACCTTTAAGAAGTTTCCGAAAGAGTTTATGCTCATATAACCTCATTTCCAGGTAAATAGGGGGTATTGTTCTACTAAAAGTTTAGTTGCATACTGGCCTCGTTTCCTAAGAAACTTAATCAAGAGGCTATCTCAATAAGCCTTGACCAACAGGAATAGGATAAAGGAATATGCAATACTGAACTACCGTAATCTTAAAGCAATAACCGATAGACGCAAGCTCATCACTACTTGTTGGTTGTTCAACGAATCTTTTTATATCACAGTACACTACGCGTATCTCATACCTCCATCCAATAGATGATTTACTCATGATTACATTTAAAACCCAAAAGTAGACATTCTTTTGAAAATATTATTCAGATTCAACGAAAACTTTCATTTATGATACATGCATATAAAATCTTCCAAGATATAATTACTTATCTTAACAAAAAATATCATTCTTTTTCTATATTTTGAACAAATTTATGCAACCATCATGATTTTCGTCCAGTAATCAAGTCTCATACCTCTATGTATATATGAAATCATATTTTCTCCGTAGAATACTATATTTTTTATATTTTTACTAAATTTTAAATTTTTCACTTCTTTTTAATTTCCTTTTATTAATAGCACACTATCCTCCAAGATAGATTTTCATTTTTTTGCATAACAACTACATTGCTACATATTTTTTTACATAACAATTCTTATCTATTGTTAAAATTCACTAGATTCGTGTTCACATTAGTTTCACATATTTGGGGAATACTTATAGCTTCTTAAATTTCAAATTGAATCTTTTCTTTTGTTTGATTATTCTGATAAAATATTCTCAGCTTATGCATAGAAAATTAAATTTGATTACAATCATCTTTTAACATGTAATGTTTATGATAATACTTAAATTTTTATCTAATGAAACTAACTTTATTATGTAAGGGTGAAATCGTGACACACTTTCGTCTTTCGTAGGCAGTAGTGGTTGTTACAAAAGGTAACTTCGAATGTAGCGTGAAATCTGCAAAAAAAATTCTGAAATTTGAATGGAGAACACAAAAATTGAATAGTTTACGTCAATAAAAAAGAGAAAAATTAAGCCAATGTGTCTCGAACCTAGGACTTAGAGCAGCAATCCCACTGTTTATCCCATTACACTAGATGCATCTCTCACCTCAGTGAATTAGATCAACTATATGATAACTTTTTCCCCATTATATTCTGGTGGAAAAGTGACAAATAGCAACTTTGACCCTCTCTCATTATGTAAGGTATATTACAGACTTAAATTCACATCAAAATAATGCAAAATGAATCTAGTTGTCAATCCAGATTTCAAAATATTTCATGAAATTTGATTCCCTTCATAATTTGAATAATTATTTCAAATCAAACAAGAAAAATCATAAAGTAATAATATCGGTTTATTTGGCTCTGAAAATAATTGCAAATATTGATTTAATAAACAATTTAATATATTATTTTTCGAACAAAGAGAATACTATTCAAGAAAATTAAAAAGTTCGACATCTTCTATTAACTTTAACATATTTTTGAATGTATGATCTCAACGCAACAATACTATTGGATAAAAAAATTCGGTGTGTAATGGTTTTACTTGAAAAGCGTATGGGTATTGTTTAAGATAATGTATATAATACAAACGAGGATACTTATAATGATGCTTGAACAAAAGAATAATGCTGTATTAAAGCAGGGAGGTCAAAGAACCGAAATGCATGTTTCGGTAATATTGATTACTTATTCCACAAGAGTGATGGTAAATCCTATTCCTGTTGGTCAAGGCTTATTGAGATAGCCTCTTGATTAAGTTTCTTAGGAAACGAGGCCAGTATGCAACTAAACTTTTAGTAGAACAATACCCCCTATTTACCTGGAAATGAGGTTATATGAGCATAAACTCTTTCGGAAACTTCTTAAAGGTTACCTGAAAAAAGGCCTCTGTTCCTATTCCTCTAGAAACGATAATTAATGAGGGGGTTGAGTATACTAACACCCCCTATTTTTCGAAAAATTTTTCTTATGATGCTCGCCCCCATTTTCGAAATTTCCATTTAACACCATTTCTCTATTAATCAAAGGAATTATAGATCATTGAAAATTCGTTAACAAAAATTCTGAAGGTGGCTTATTTTAACGGAATAAAGAATAATATAAAACTGAAAATTATTAATGATATCTAAAATTTTTCAATAACAATTTCAATTTTTTGATAATGAACTTTTTGGGTTAAAACCTATCACCAAATTTTCAAACAGATATGCCTTAACATAGGTGAAAAAAATCGAAAATGAAATGCGAAATTAAGTTAAAAGCACAATTTCCAAAACTATTGAATTTCAACATGATTATTTTATTAAAAATATTATTGAATCATCTCTTTTTGAACCAAGGAATTTCAAATATTATTATCAATTTGATCAAAATATCATGGTCAAAATGATTGTTGAATGAAAAACTCTGATCACTTTGGATAATATGTATTTTACGAGACTATTGCAGTAGTTACTGAGAATCAAATATTGTTACGCATAAAAAAATGTTATTTAGCACCAAAAACATAATATTTGAAATATATCAACAGGATTCCATCTCAAGATTCAGCAGTGGGATCCAAATAAACAACCAATCACAGCATTTCAGAGTGAAAACATACCAATCATGCTTAAATTAATTTAGTGAGAAATATTTTCCTTTTTTCCAACGAAAAATAAAAGCACGGAGGTTTAAACTCGAGAAGAATGAATGCATGTTGGGATATCAATTACTTCAAATTGTTTAGGGCTTTTCAAATTCATAAAATATCGGATCCATGATTTAAAATGATCGTAAATTTTACATCATTGAAATTTAATGATAATATGTTTAAATATACAATGATGTATTGAAACAGCTTATCTAACCGTTGCATTTTCAAAATCATAAATGTCGTGGGGAAGTGATCCAGTACCTGAACCTACTCCTGTTCCTTGCCCTGATTATACATTTTATTCGGGATCTGATGAACAAATCTGTGTTTCTCCTGGAGTATACTTTTTCATTGGAGATATTCCGTATGGATTAATTCTTATTGTAGGTATAAGCTGGGCCATTAATATAACATTGTGGGCCATAGCTGTTCGCAAAAATCGCGAAATTCATCCTCCATTCGGGTACTTTATATTCAGTTTGGTACAAAATCTTTGCTTTGGACTCTTTATTTGGGGAATAATGCACCAAATATTTCAAGGAACGTCTATGTATACGAGTGCATTTGCTATTTCATTATTTATTTTAATTTTTTCTAACATTTTTTCATATAAATATTCATTTTCAACTAAGGAACTGAAACCAGGCTTGTTTTTAACTAGAAAACTCATATTCAAGAAGTTCTGTCAATGCTGTCTCTCATTTCATTTGGGTTTCCAAGGTCGAAAAAAGTTTCCAATTAAATGCGTGCTGAATGAAGAGAAAGCAGAAAAACTTGCTAAAAGAGTCTCAGGAAATCCTCCAATCCTTATAATTAAACCAATAATTAAAAATGGATTTGAAAAACACAAAGTTGTGTTCTCTGAGCCTCTCAAATATGGATCATGGGAAGGAATGGATGATTTGAAGATAGATCCAAATTGCGAACTCACTATTTTTAAAGCAAATTTTGTTGATGAAATTTCGGAAGATTTTCAAGGCTATTTAAAGCAGGCAAGTGAAGAATATTACAGGAAATTGCATGCATATTATATTGCAAGGCAAACAAATTATCGTCTCCGCATCAAAGTGTTTGATAATCCAGAAATGGAGTATGAAATGGATATTTACAAAGTTCCAAAATATTTTTCATTATGCCATAATAGCAAGTACGTCAAATTCTTAAATTCATGTTTTGGCAAATTTTTATTTGTCATTTTGAATTTATTCGGATTTTCCATAATATTTGATGACATCTTCTATATCATGGCAAAGTACCAAGAGATCGAAGTTAAAAGGAAAATTGCATTAGACGGATCTTTAAGATTCAAACCATATAAAGCAAATCCGCAATTCAGCAATGATTATTACACAGCAGAAGACTTATCGTACTGCAGGCTTCCATATTGGGATCCTGAACTTTACCTTTTAATTTGTTCAGAAATGCAAAAATCAGATTGCACTGACCATTATGCGCTTTCAATGGCGTTTACAGTTCCTCTACTTGATGGAGGTTTCGGATATCCAATTCCACAAAATCAAGGAGATATCAAGAATTCTCTGATTAATTCTCAAGAAGGACAATCTAATGATCAGCCATACTACTATGAGGTTCCTTATTCTCAGAAGCAAGAGTATGCTTATCCTCCGCAAATTCAAGAAAAAGATGTTAAAATGGATGTTTAAAATCCATATATTTTTATATGCTATTAAAATCTGTTATGTGCTTAGTTTATTTACTTTATTTTATTGAACATTTTTAAAATTTATCAAAATTTTTCTAATAAAACTGTTCACAAATGAGTTAATCAATATTATTTATATGCAAAACCCACATATCCTTACAGTTATGCATCATTTCATCAATAATTAACAATTTTGAATTCGAAATTTCATGAAATGTTATGATTATAACGATTGAAATACTACATATCATTTTAAAACTCTACCTAACTCAATAAAATACTGAGAATTTACTAATTTTAAATTTTATTTTTGAAAAAGGCTGCAAACTAAGATGAAAAATGAACTCTTTAAATCCTTGCTCTCATGCATAATTGTCTATTCAAGCAAAGATCTTGGGAGAGAAGAGATGCTGAGTTATAAATTGCGATAAAATTTTAAACGTATCGTTCAAGAAATGACGAAAACTCAGAGAGAGCACGTCGAAGAGTTTGGGCGAATTGGTGCATTGTTTAATCGTGCTATTGCATCTTCATCGCAGCGCGAAAAAGATGCTAATCTTGCAGAGTTAAAGAAAACATCAGTCGAAGAAGTACAAACACTCGAAGAACAAATCATTTCAAATGCGAATAAACAAAAACAATTAGAAGAATTACAAAAGAATTACGAAATTTTGAAAAAGCAACATGCAATTATGCAACAAAATCAGCTATTATTAGAAAAAATTTTAACAAAAGATCAAAAAATCGATGTTAAAAAGATGCTCAATACAATATCTGAACTAGAAAATGACATTCAATCATTAAGCACGCTTCAAAGACCAAATTTAGTAAAAAACGTATCTGCCAAAGAATCAAGACTTGGAATTAGACTATATGATGTTAAATTACAACGAGTTGAAGAGTTGATTTATGCTTTTAGAAAGCGTATTTTAGAGGTTGATAAAAATGAACAATATTCTTCACAGATACAATCAGAGTTTGGTAACAATGTTGGCTTACTTACAACATATAAAAACATATCGAAGGAAAATGAACAACTAAAACAAGAAGAATTTCAATGCTCACATGATGTCATTACAAAAAGACGTAATATTACAAATATGACAGATGCATCGATTAGAACTATGATAATATTTATGCAGCAAGAGTTACAGACAGAATTAAAAGCAATTAAAACTTTACATGATACAAAGTACAAAATTGACTCAAATCCAATCGAGAGTATTCTAAATAGTCCTGATTTTAAACATAATCTTCCAATAGAACATCCTGCTAAAAAGATACAGGCAATGAAACAAAGTCTCAATTCTGTGATTCAAGATCTTAAAAATGTAAAAGGCCCTGATGCAACAATGCTCAAGCAAGCTCATGACAATGAAGCTAAAAACCTTGAATTAATGGCATATCTTCTGAATAAGATGACAACAATCTCCAAATCAGTAGATTCAGCTAATGACGCCATTCAAGATCTAACAACACAACTATATCAAAGAACTATTGAACTTAGAAAGGCTAAAAATGAGTATCATGTCATTTTTGATCCATATCAAGATTTATTAAATTCTTACGTAAAATTATTAGGTAATCAAAGAAATAATATATCAGTTTCAACAACACTTTCATCAATTAGCTCTTTGTTCTCACTTAAAGACAACAATCTCAAAAGCTTTCTCGAATCTGCTATTTCTAATGTTAAACTCACTGGAGTTAAATCGAATCCGAGACCAGCAAGAAAACTTGCAGATGTTCCTGCTTCTAATACTGGATCTAAATCTAAATTCCATCTCAAGAACCTAAATCAATCACCAAGTTCATCGAAGCATGGCTCATCGGTGACATCAAATGTTACATCAACAGATCCATCACCTGCTCCTTCGGCCAAATTGTCCAGAACAAATTCAGTTGTCAGTCATAATTTAGAGAAAACAGATAAAATCCATTTGAGCGATCCATTCTTCAATTTATTATTGACATCAATTCTTGGAGAAATTATGGCTCCTATATATTCTAGTAAGACAACAAGATTAACACCAATCTGGAAGAATTTACATGACAAATTTATTGTTTCCATTGAAAATACAGATAGAGAATTTGGAGAAGAATTGCACAAAATGATAGAGAAACTTCAGATATCTTCTCATGAAATACTTGTTAAAGAAAAGACAGAGAATGAAGCTCAAACAGAAAATCCAGAAATGATTGATATAGAGATTCAAACAGAAGATACAAAACCTTTGAAAGGAAAACGATAATTTTGTTTCAATATTTTTTACCAAATGATTTTTAATTTTTGTTTTGTTTATGTTTTGAAATAAATAATTGTTAATTGATATGAGACATTTAAGATTTTTAAGTCGGATTATACCGTTGATATAACAATTGAAATTTTCGCTTTTCAAAAAATTGAATGAATCCATCTCATTTTTTGAATTTTACAATAGAATCTAATAAAATTCAGCTAATTAAGAAGCAATAAATTATGTCTAGAGACATTTAATTTTAAAAATTTATTTGTTTGAAAATCATACTCAAAGTCTAAATTTTATGAGAACGGTTTTATGTTTTCAATAGATGATTTTATAAAATTCCATGCTTTATCAAATATGAATTTAAATATTTGCATTAGTTCGCATACAATTTAGAGGTATTTCTGCATTTTCCAAGATTTTAGTTTTCAAAACTTTACAAAAACGACACATCTTTTCAAATAATTGAGAGAAAAATTCAAAAAATCATTTTAGAATGAAGTTATATGCCACAAGCTTCCTCGGCAGAGTCTACATCATCGACACAGATATCGATCCCTCTGTCTTAAACGACGACGAGTCTCATAAGGAAAAGGGTCCTCCAACAAAGGACTCCCCAGTAAAGCCCCCTCCAGCTACACAGGAGAACAAATCTTCTCAACATAACACACAATCATAATACTCAGTTATAATGGCTACTTATCATATACTATTATGTTTCATTTTTTTTATCCTGATTAAAGTCTGAGTGTTTGTGAGTTAATTATCAATCATTTACTTTAACATATATTAACAACTACTAGCAGGGTTGTTAAAAATATCAAAAATTAGCGTTTTGAAGACACCATGGTGTCTTATAATTTTTCCTTCCTTATTGGCGTGTAGAAATAAATGCGCCAATAGATTGAAGAAGAAGAATTGTTTTTCTCTTAATGAACTTTAATCCTTTTGATATAAGAATATTAAAAACATTAATATAATTTCGATTTCGGAAATTAAATTTCCAAATTTTTTGTCGCTTTCGGAAATAACAGGATCCCGCATCCAACACGCAACAACAAAACACAAAACACACTTTTTGGTTCTTTCATCGTTTTAATCGTAATTTATGTAATACATGATTTGGATAAATTTTACAAAAATAGAACCTATATTATATTCTTTTCAAAGATCCTTGCAAATCATCAAAAATAATTGTATTTTAAAAAACGATCAAATTATCCTTTCATTATTTTAAACTTAAATTAGTTTTTATGATTGACTAAAGCAATCATATTTATTCATCATTAAATAAACAAAAAAATAATATTTGAGAGTTATTTCAAAAAAAACACATTGAATTTATTAATTTGTCTCAATTTCAGTATTATAAATTTTTATAATTTCAATATTTTGAAATACACTTTTTAATATTTCAATATTTATGATATTTCAATGTATTAAGTGGTCTCAAATTGAGCTTCTCAAATATAAGTTGGCCTATTCAAATAATAAAATTAAATAATATTTAAAATAATAAATAAAAGTGATTGAGGTCATAGCAAAACGGCTGTTTCAGTCATTAATTCTTAAAAATAAAAAGGGTAAAAACTAAATAAAATAGGTAAAATTCAATAGTGTCTGTGCTATCGTTCAATTTGAAGGTGTCTTTTGAAGCCGCAAGACACATTGAATTTTTGAATAGTGTATTATGGTTTGACAGACACCAATGAAAAAAATAAAATGATATTTATTTTAAATATATAAGATCCTTATATAAAATATAAATATTTTATCATTTTATTTTCTTGTTTTAGAAATGTTTTTTATTGAAAAATTAATAAAACTAACTCCAAAATAAAATTTTTGATTTAAAGACACTATGATGACACCAGGCAAATCTTCCAAGACACCTATCGTCGGGAATCTAACAACCCTAACTACTAGTCCTTATATTGAGCAGAATAATAGAAATAGAATCGACTAGTTACAAAGTTTGTTGAGTTTAGAAATTTTTCATAAAATTTCTTGATACGAATTGAGAATTTGATAAAAAAGATTTGAGAATTCATAATCTACATGGCATAGTTTAGCACAAAAATATTAAAACACAAAAACTTTATATAAAAATTTTCACGACTTTTTTCCAAAAGATTTTAGATTTGAATAGTTTACAAATAATTAACTTTTAAAAACATATAATATAATAAAAATAGCCGCAACATAAGGCTTGATTGAAATGTGATATGAAATTATAGGAACATCATCTAATATAAAGATCATTTTAAAAGTGCACTTACACCCATCTGACTTTTATTCAAATTTTGACAAAACATGTGAAAAAGCAATTGATTTTAGACAACAGAATAAAGGATGAAGCACACCCTTAATGAAAATAAATGAGTTTATTTCAACAGGAATGGTTCTTCACCATTAATTCAGATCTTACCATTCTAAAACAATAGTTAAAAACACATAAGAAGTATTATTTTTTTATATAAACAAAAAATATATATTAATAAATAAGGAAAAGATTACTGTAGAATCTGTTTGATTTAAGATTCTTCAGTTTTTTCTAATGTTTCTCTCAATTCTTTTGTAATTTCTCTGAAGTTTTCTTTATCTTTAAATCTCTCGCAAAGTTGAGATAAACCGGAGAGTTTCTTTGGATCCAAGCCGCATTCGATTGCTTCTTTGGCAGCTTGAACCAGTTCAATAAATATTTTCTCACTTGGAATTTCCTTTGATTTTGTTTCTTCGATGAAAAACTTCATTCTAAAGTCTTCTTCTTCGATTCCCAAATTCTTATAAACTAAATATTTCGCATGCCCTGCTAAAAGTGGCTCATCTACCAATGGTTCAAGCCATTTCCTTTCTATCTGATTCTCGCCATGAATCAAGAACGAATCTTCAATAATTGAGTTTACATTCGACGGTTTTATTTGACAAATAAAGTCATTTAATTTGTCTAAAACCGGTTTTGTAATATTGGCACTTTTCATAATTGTCAACTGATTCAAATAATTATTAACAGTCATTTCCGTTTCATTTAAGTATTTAAGAGCAATTTGAGGCTGACATTTTGCTGCTAAACAGAGAATTTGGATAATTCCGTTGTTGTTTTGGATTCTGTTCAATGGTTCTCCGAAAAACTTGAAAACTTTGTAGGAGTTTTCTTCATCGAGTCCTTCAACAGATAAATGAGAAATCAAAGCGTTGATAAACACATTCGACAAGCAGAAGTTAGTTTGACTTGGCTGGCGAATGAAATCACTCGCTTTCACGTGAATTCCGTTTTTAGACAAAAATGATAAAATTTTCTGAACTGTTGCATCGTAATCAACAGCAATTGGTCTTAAACAATCCAATATTTTGATTATACAATTAATATTTTCTTTGTTTTTGTCAATTTCGTAACAGCCGGCAAAAACTTCGAAAAGTGACACAAAAACGGTTTTGCTTGATTTATATTTATCCTCAAATCCTTCTAAAAGTTCTTCTAAATGAGAAGTGAAGTGACCACTTATAACACGACACTTTTCAATGTCAACGGTTTTTGACGGTTTGAATTTCATTTCTTCCTGATCGAAATCGTTTTGCGGGAAATACGACAGGAAGTTGAAATATTCCGTTGGAATTATGAATGCGACCAAATAACTTATGAAAGTTCTCAATGTCTGGTCTTCATTCACAATGTAGTAAAACCATTGATCAATGTTGGATAAAAAGAAATCTGACATTTGACAGTTTTTGACAAGATAACAGAAACAAGCAAATTTGTCATGTAATGTTGACATTCTTTCTCCAAGTATAAATTTAAATTTATCTATTTTGTCAAAACCGTTTTCATACATTCTCAAAATGAATTCAACGACTTTTGTATACGAAAGAGAAACAGAGTTTTTGTCTAAGAAATTGTCAAGTTTTTCTTCATCATAATTGGCACTTTTGAGGAGTTTTGACAGACTTTCTATTGTAGTTTTAGATGTAAAGATTTCTTTGATGAAATCATCACTCTCTAAAAATGTTTTAAGTTGGTCATCTATCGGTAAAAGTGACATCATTGTCAAAAGTGAAGTGAAATCCAAATAACCGAAGAACATATCTTTCTTTATGTTCTTCTTTTCATTGAGGTAATCAGGGATTCTCTTAGATAATATCGCATGCAATGAAAATTGCCAATTTTTATCGATGGCAGTTTTATAACCGATTTCTGTCTGAACACAGTCATTCAAAACAGAAAACAGGTTCTCTATCGAATTGTAGTTCTCGCAAATATGCTCTGTTTCATTGAAAAGTGAAATGATCGCTGTTTCTATCACTTCACTTTTGACAACCTTAAACAAATTTTGCGCTCCGTCTCTTATTGACTGATCCAATGCGAAGAAGAGTGGTTTTGAGAAACTCTTGTTTTCAATCAATTCTATCAAGTATTTCTTCATGTTTTCATCGTCTTTTATCGATTCTGTCACTTTTCTAAAGAATTTTGGAGCTTTTTCTTGGAAAATAGTATAAGGTAAAACGTGACACATGTAAAACAAGGAATTATTATCTCTTGTTGTTGACATAAGTTTGAAATAAGGTGTGGAAAACAAAATATTGATTTCATCTAATGTCACGTTTTCTTTTTCTATCGTTTCTTTCATTTCATCAGACACTTTGTAGTCAGATTTATCATAATCATAGTCAACTCTATCATAGAAAAGTAAATATGCACTTTTAGACGAATTCCCAATTCCTGCTTCTAAAATTGATTTTTCTGACACAAACGTGACATTTTCATCGTTACAGAATCTCCATGTATCTGTTTCTCTGTCTTTCACATACGATACATAATGTCCGAAATTAGCAGTTCCTATATGGACGATAACACCATTCAATTTATAGTCAAAACCGCCAAATTTCAAATCAACAGGAAAATTGTAAATAGAGTCAATTTTTGTTATTGTCCATGTCGCGTAGTTATATTCGAATCTCGCTAATTGTATTATGAGGAAAGGAGGACAGTTACCTATTGACGAATATCGTTTGGCATCAATTTTACCGTATTTGTCACTTTTATATTGATTATCACCAGTGAAAAAGTCGGGAGCAGAGAGTTGTTCCAATGATTGGCTGATTGAAGAGACACCTTTGACTGGCATTGAGAATGCGTAGAAAGGTTCTTCTGACTCTAAGTGGAAATCGCAATTCAATCCGTCAGTGTGATGAATTGTTTTCCCTTGAAACAGTTTTTGAATGAAATCAACTCCAAGAGCTTTTTCAAGTTTATCAAGTAAGTTTTGGACAAATTCACATGCATCTTGTTGCATCATCGGATTCATTGGTTCTCCATCCCATCCGACCCATTTTGAGACTAAATCTGCTGGTGATTGTGCGTAATGACGGGAAAGAAGCATCCGAGAGTACAATGTCTTGAGGGAAAGCATGAATATGTCCTCTCCTTCGTATGATAAAATGGCTTTTCTCAGTGGAATTATGTAAAAGAACTGTTGCAAGGCCGAATTTAAGAAACAAGTGGCTCCAAGATTCATCAGACCTGACCCTGATGGTGATTTTCGTGGACAATCGCCATTTGTACTCCATTTGAGAACGGGATGCATGGAATTATGGAGATTTCGGATATGTTCTTCGAGTTCTACAGTGTTCAGGCGGCCAAGGATACGGCAGGCATTGAGAAAACTGCTTTTGTCGCATGTTCCGTCGATTTGTAAATATTTTTGAATAAGTCTGTTCGAAAGTTTCGATGCATGGTCATTGTCTATTCCTATTTTGACCATTTCCAGCATGCAGGCGAGTGCATCGTTGAGGTATTTGCAGTTCTCGTCGTCGAGTGATGACATGATCAGGTCAAATAACTCTTGGGAAAACTGATCTATGTGGAAACTCACTGATTTCAAGATGATTCCTTTGTTCTCGTCCGGGCATTCGAATACTAATGGGATGAGGATGTCCTGGTTGATGGTCAATTCCATGAACAATTCGTCTGCAATTTTCATTATTTCTCGATTTTGGCAAAGGAAGAACTTTTTAGCGGCATCAGGGAAATAAGATGGAAGAGCAATGTCTACACCTTTCAATTTCTCGATTTTCACCAGGAAATTCGCGATTAGAGTGAAATATAATTTTTCATCTTCGAAATTATTATATAATCGACCAAACAACGAGTCGAATATCTTCTGAGCGGAATATTTCTTGTCCTTAGCTGACAATTTCGTCTCAAAAAAGTTGATAACCGCGATATTCGTCGTCATTTGTATTTTAGACATACAATCTATCAGGTAATCGATGCCTCCTGTCTTCAGCAACACTCCCGGCTCGACCATGGCTATCAACGTTTCGAAGTTATACATGAATAACATTGGAAATTCAACGGGAAGGAAGTGGTTGTAGTTGAAATGGTCCAAGTACTGGATGGACTCTATGATGGCGAGTGTATATTGCATGGTTGGTATACAATCAAGTACTAATTTCGCTTCTTTTACGTCATCTTTCAACAAATCGTACAAAATACTCGGGATTTCACCATCAGCGACATACTCAGATGGTAACTCCGTGAATACTCGGTCTACAACCTTCTGATTCGTCGCTGGATAGGCTGTAATCTTAAGATCTCCGCTTTGCGCGTAATCTTTGATCGTAGAAATACTCGTAAGCTCTTTACCGGCGATTTTGAGTGTAAATGAACCGACAGGAACCTTTCCGTATCGTGCAACTCTGCGAGATAAGACAGCAATTGTCATATTCTCTGGGACAGAGTGCTTCTGAGTGGAAATAACACCGGAACCAGTGATTTCGACATTGATTTTGGGCGAAACTTCCAATCCGTGTGGTGTTCGGCTGTAAATTTCGTAATCTACTAAATATTCGGCGTCGACAATGAAAAATCTGAGAATATTGAGTACGAGATGCTTGTTTTCGGACTGCTTGAACACGGATAACCATTTTCTGATGAATCCGTCGATCATATCATAATCTGACAAAAATTTCTGGTCGTTGTTGAGATATGTGCGTACAAGTAAGTCCATTGAGTCTGTTCTTTGAGGATGGTCAGCAACAGAGAGCTTCCAGAGGATTTCATCGCCATCAAATGGGATAGATGTGATTCCTGTCTCAGGAGTGCTCTTTTGCATGACGATTTTGACTAAATCGATGAAGCTTTGGTCTATTTCGGAGAATTCGATGCTGTTTAGGAACTTCCTGATCTCATCCAGAGAAATAATATCATTTTCTACGGCTTCTTGTAGGAAATTGTATAAATCTTTGTCGTGGGAGAGTGCAAATATCTTAGTGCAGTCTTCTTCGTCGATTAATACTGAGTTTCCTACGCATAAATTGTTAATAAAATTAAATATCGGAAGTTTTGTTTCTTCTTCTGAATCTTGTAAGGTGTCAATCGCTCTCTTAAGGAATTCTACAGCTGAATCCGTGCCCGGCAATGACAATGCATTGACAGCTGTCCCTAAAATATCATAGGCCTCAAAAGTTGGAAAAGTGTCAAGAATTTGAGAGGAAATTTCCTTCAAGTGAGTGGGAGTTAAGTGATATCCTATCGTCGTTTTTAATGCCATTCTGGCCTGTTCTTGTAAATCGTTTTCGTCGAATGATAAATTCCAGAATTCGTTTCTAATGACTTCGTATTGCTGCAAAGCATCATTCCTACTGCTGATTGTATGTGCTAAATACAGTAAAAACTGGAACCAAATCTGATTTTTCTCATTTGGATGGATACACATCGTACAGAAGTCAAACAAGTATTCTACGGGTATGTACTTAGATATGAGAATGAACATTTGGTAGAATTTGTCTAAATCTGTCGGATGAATTTGAGAATTTTGGTTCCAGAGGTCTTGTATGATATCAAATGAGATGAGGTTCTCTTTAACAAGTGATGCAATGATGGATGCGATGTATTGCATGATCTCCGGATGCATTGCGTTCTTTTTCAGTAATGAAAGGTGTTCTTTGTCCAAAAACCACTTGAGAACAATTGCTTGTATGTCTTTCTGATCAAGCATGTACTTAAAAGCCTGATATCCGAAGAGTTGAATATTAAAAATTTCACATTTGGTGAAAATCTCAAATAGATTCAGCCATCCAAACACTGATTCATCCTCTACAAGAATCTTTGTAATTTTGTCGAGAATTTGGTATATATCATTTGGAACAATTTGTCTGATTCTTTCTTTAGCAATTTCGCATGCATGCTTTGTAAATTTCTTTGATACATCATTGAGATCGATTTCTGAGATATGTTTCTGTAAAAGAATCAAAGCTTGTGTAGAATGAATGATTAAAGGATAAGAATCTGTTTCTTTGTCAAGGAATTTCATTATTTTGTCAACAAGATTCTCTTCTTTGATAAACTCGATTAGTTCTTTATCAATATTTGAATTTGTATTTTTTGAAATCAAAGACCACGTTTCGTCAGGAATTAATTGATGTATTAGACAGAAGTAATCAGGAATTTCTTTTTCTAGAGCTTGGATGGTGAAATTAAGAATTGCTTTAAGACAATTTACAATTATTAAAATTTCATTTTCTGGAAGCGATCCAAGTTTTTTCAGTTTGGGGATGATCTTCCAATAGAGCTCTTTGATGAATGCAGACTCTTTTCCCTTAATAGGATCTTTGAATTCTCGATTTTCAATAAGTTGATTCATAAGATCTTGTATTTGGGGAACAAAAGGCTCAAAACTTGAAACAGTATCTATTGTGGATGTAATAACCATACACCAAGTTTCGAAATCCTCTTCTGGAGTAATCATTTTTTCAAAGAAAAAAATTTAAAAAGTGCCAGATTATGAAATCTCCGATTCCATAAAAAATCATATATTTCGATTATATTTCATATTTCATTATAAAAAAATTTCATAAAAAAATAGTCATAATTTCAGAAAAATAGAAAAGATGACGAATAATTCCATCACAAGGTATATATTAGAAATTTCTCATAATTTTATCGATTTAATCAGATTTTCAAAAAATATCATTTGTTCAAAAAGACATTATAGAGCATTACTATGTATGAATCATGCATTATAGCTTTAAATTCTGAGTACCAGACTTCTTGCAGCTAGAATGCAATCTTATGCATAAAATATCAACTTGAAATTTTTAAAGTTGACTCAAATCGAATCAAACCAATATTCATCACACTATCGTTAGAGAAACATGTGGAGCATTCTTTTGCATGAATTTATTGTAAAGAAATATTGATTTAAAAATAATTTCCTTTTAGAAGAGTATTTAGGTATATGGTGTGAAAGCAATGATAGAGCAAACTGTATATGAAAGCATGCTCACTCAAAATATAGCTTATATTCTTAATTTTGATTTGACCAAAATTAATATCATTATTTTATCAATAATTCATTAAGAACTGTAATGAACACACAATGGCAACGCAAATGACATACTGTGAGCTAACATTAAGGCCTGATCAAAAAATTCGATTTCAAAAATGTCCTTCTTTTCAAATCATCATCACAAGAAAAATATTCCTGAATATGTTATATTTAATCTTTCTCATTTTGCCAAATCATTATGGTCAACTTCTATCGTTCGGCGGTTGTTGGTCCTCCTTTTTGAACTATGGCTCCAAAGGCTACACGCTCAGCCCCAGAGAAAGTCATCGAAGACAAGGACATAATCCGCCAGGAACACCTCTTCGCTGAAGAGACAGCCGAGAAGGTTGCTGACAAGACAGCCCAGACACGCTTTCCAAAGTATGTCCAGCTTCAGCGCCAAAAGAGAATCCTCATGAAGCGCCTGAAGGTCCCACCACCAGTCAACCACTTCAACCACACACTTGGCAAGGACGCCGCTGTCGCCCTCTTCAAGTTCCTCGAGAAGTACCGCCCAGAAACAAAGGCTGAGAAGAAGCAGCGCAACAAAGATGATGCTGAGAAGGCTAAGAAGGACCTCAAGGTCGCCGGCTCTGGCAACAAGAAGGCTCTCGTCCAGGGTGTCAAGAATGTTACAGCCGCCATCGAGTCCAAGAAGGCCCAGCTCGTCATCATCGCTCACGATGTCGACCCAATCGAACTCGTCATCTGGATGCCAGCTCTCTGCCGCAACCTCGAAATCCCATACTGCATTGTCAAGAGCAAGTCCCGCCTTGGCCAAATCGTCGGCATGAAGACATGCTCCTGCGTCGCTCTCGCTGAAGTCAAGCCAGAAGACCGCGCTGCCTTCACAAAGATTGTTGACTCCGTCAACTCTGGCTTCCTTGCTCACTACAAGGAAGAAATGCACCAGTGGGGTGGTGGTGAGCTCTCTGAGAAGACAATCGAGAAGCTCAAAGCCCAGGGCAAGTACAAAGAGTAAATCTTAAATTAATTTCTGCCAATTTACAAAATATCTAACTATCTTTTTTACTACATAATCTAACCATCATACGTTACTGATTTTTTCTGAATTATTTATTCAATTTTTTTAAAATCCTTCTTTTTCTCAATAAATGGTATGAATCGCTTTGCTATAAATTAGATGTTTTTCATATTACGAAGCTCCTGACTCTTATTTTTTGCGACTTTATACTGGGCTGATGTGATACAGACTAGATCCAGAGATTCGTCAGCTGCACGAAATTGAGCTCCATATAGTAGAACTATATTTATGAAGATGAAATCGAAATCGATGCAATAAAGGTTACGAACGTATTCTAAGGCAAAAGATGTCTAAATTATGAGAAAATGCAATGAGCTTATTAATGAAATTAATGTTTGCAAATTCATCTTATGAGGCTTGAACTCAGGGACTTCATTTTTTGTAAAATCAGATTTAAATTTGATAAAAGAACAGAAATCACTGCCAAATGGTATTTCCACATTATATATCGCATAAGTAAATGCATGCTAATGGAGAAAAAGTTTGTAGTTTATATTTTCAATCATGATTTCATAAAAATAACGTGAAGAATAATCTACGAAATTTCAATACCCATCTCCTTAATTCAATATAAAAGCATGATATTTGCAAAGAGCTAATGATATAGCATCACAATGATCTGATAACCATGCAATAATGAAATAAGAACTTTTGAATTACCATTCACAAAAAGAAGGAAATGATTTTTATTCAAAAGTACTGACACTAAAATTTTTATTAAGGGTTTCGTTTTGCGAAAAAAACGTACAATACGCAATTTCGCTAAAAAACATTTAGCTAGCAATTTCGACCTTTGACTCCACTCAAGACGTCACTTTTTTAATTTTGCGGTATCATATTTTTGGAAAATCTTTATGAATATTATATAAAAAGTCTCTTTAATATCTATATTTCATATTTTTATCGATTTTTAAAGTTTTTGCGAAAAGTATTCAATTATTTTTGCTATTTGGTCGGGTAAATGTCAGATTTGCGACATTTTCTGATATGATATTCAGATTCTACGTTGATAATAATGCTTATAGAACCCTCTTGCTATTGTGTCAAAATTGCGAAACCGATAGCAAAAATATCTCGCAATATCAAAATTGAGATATTGAGTGAATTATGCATTATAGAGATTAAAAATCTGATTTGTGAAAACATCTCATCAGTTTCTAGCTAATTCAAAAATCTTTACTATCTTATTCGATTAAAATGAAAAGGGAATAGTTTCATTATGCTTTAAATGACAGCCTTATAATATAATCATAGTTTTCGCTCAATATGCAGCATTTTTTTTTCGAAATCTATGGTCAATATCCTAAATACTGATTGCTTTGCATTCATATCTCTTACATTTTCTATACCCACATCACTATTCATTGCTATTCCTATCTTTTTCATTTTTGTTTGTTTCTCATAATTTCTCAAAAAACATGATAACTTGATATTTGTAAATATCATACTTTATAACGTAAATAAGAACTTGACCTATTAAGAAAAGCAGTAATGAAAAGAAAATCTGAAATTCATAAAAATTACAAGTTTCTGATGACAATTAGCTTAATTAAACCAGGTACAAGATTATATAATTGTATTTTCTATCCAATTATCCATATAATATCTTATCCAGAAAAAATAACTTGATCAATACCAAATGATTTTTTAACTAGTAAATAAAGTATTTTCTTTACACACACATTGTATATCATAGTTTTTTTTTTGGTTTCGCAAAACATCCAAAAACAAATATGCTATAAAAGTGACAATTTTAGCAAAACGAAACCCTTATTTTTATCGAATATTGTTATATAGTGTATATATTGCATTACGTGTCTTTTCAATTTATTCAAAAATTGAGAATAAACTTAAAATTCACTAAATTATTTTACTATGAAATATTACGTGGTGCGTATAGCACCATTTCATGATTTTTACGTTCCATATCAAAACCCAATGACTGTATGGGATGTGAAAGACGAAATGGGCAAACAGCTCGAATGCCAAACAGGTAAAATGATTTTAATTTATAATGGGAAATTAATGCAAAATATGGACTTAGTTTCTAACTATGGAGCAAAATCAGGATCAATACTGTTTCTTGTTGTTTCTGGAATAAACAGAAATAAAATCCTTGCTCCAAAACGTGCTTTATTGGAAATTATTACTTTAGCAACTAATTTAGAAACAATGGAATATGGTATATTTAGGGAAGCAATGAAAACAATCAGAAGCGAAATTGATTCACCAAAAATAATGGCATTATCCATGGTTTACCCAACAATCAAGCCCACAATTGAAAGAGTTCATGACAGACTGAAAATGTTTATCAACCCTTAGACTTTCCAACTATCAGGCTCCTTTCAAAAACGCAGGATGATGCATTTAACCAACTCGAAGCATTTTCTGATGGGTTGAGAATCTTATCATCAGAGCTCTCTGATATCAATACGCTTATTGAAATCAATAGCGACTATGATGATTGCCAACATACAGAGGTTGAATCAGACGATGATAACTATACAAATCTAGATTACACGCCTTCTATTCAATCCGCTCCCTTGCCATACCAATTTAGTTATGATTTTGATGATTAATAGTAGTTCATTTTTGAAGCTTTATTTTGTATTTTAGTTTGTTTGTATACCAAAATAAAGTTGATATTTGTCTATGCATGGTAAATTTCAAGCTTTTTCTCAAAGCCCGCACTCACAAAATACATAAAAATAGAGACAATGAATAATAACAAACACTTGAATGATAATTTAATAAAAATCCGTAAACAAATATAAAAATAAACAATATAAAATCGGTAATATTGAAAAATTACTCAGTGCCACCTCGAGCATCAGCTATTTCGGCCTTAATCCAGTTAAGATTTAGATCATTTAATACATATGAAGGAATTGGAGGAGGTGGCTGCTTCAATATCTGTAAAACTATATCAACTAATGGGTTCGAGATATTTTGTGTAAGTTTCGAACTCGACTGTGATTTATCAGTTAATTCGTTTGAATTTAGCGGAGATGTAGCAGGAGAACTACCTGTAGATGAAGATGTATGGATTATTATATGGCTGGAACTAGTATTAGGCGTTAATGTATATGATTTCGGAATTATTACAGGAGCTGGTTTAATAGGAACGATTGATCCTGAATTAGAAGGATGTAGTATAGGTTGTTTAAGCGAATTGAGGTCATTCTGTGTCAATTCAGCTGAAATTCTTCTTGATGTATTTCCTTTTTGAGGAGCAACCATTAATCCTGCAGGTTGGAAGCTATTTACAGGTAGTTCAAGAGGCGGGGCTTCAATTTGATTTACATCTGCTTTGAGAGAAAATTTCGGAATTTCTGATTTCGGAGGTGTGGAAAATTGAGGTTTTACGTGTTGGTAGAAACAAGATTCATCTGTTGTTGTCGAAACCATTGCATCTTGTTTAGATCTCGTCTTCGTTTGTGTCTTTCTGTTATGAATTTCGACTTCAAGGACTTCTATGGCCAAAGAATCCGAACAGCTTAATGTAGCACGTGGAGCCATCATTGTTCTCAATATTGCACTTGGTTTCTTTAGCATTTGAATTGATTGTGGCGGTGGAGGAACCAAAAAAGGATTTTCTTCGGGTTCTCCTGTATCGAATTCATCAATTCCATGGAGGGAAGAGAATTGGCCAGAATTAATAGGACTCTCTTGCTTAGAAACCTTTTCGGTCGATGGAGTTTCGAGTTTTGGCTCGGATACGAAATGAACTTCTTCAAACTTATGGGGATTAAGGAGTCTGAGGTAGTTAGGCTTATTAATGTTCGGATAAATCTCTGCCATCTTCGCTGCTTCGTCTCCCCAGAGAATTACAGCGTTATATCTCGCTGGCATCGGCTGGGAAGTTCTCAGACGAAGCATTTTGAGTCTACTTTGGTCAATGATGCCTTCAGGAGGGTCATCAATTATTTTCTTTAGCGATTCTTGGTAATCTTGGTCCATAGGATCAACAATTTGGCCGCAAATAGCTTGTGTAAGCATGCATCGAATGGTACGACTGCCTATATTATTTTTCCAATCCGATTTATCATATGAAAAGTTCAAAATTCCGAGAAGAGTATTTTGCATTACTTGGCTATGCGAAAATTCACGGAATAGAGGTAGTGACTCGCGGACTAATATGTTGCTTGATCCAACGCGTATCATTCTGAACAATAAAAGCTCTGCCAAATCTGGCGAAATTTTGTATTGATTTTGTGTAAGGTATCTCATGGCTACTTGAAGCAATTCGCATGGTAATCTGAAGCATTCCAATATGGAAACGCATGATAAACATATTGTAGGGTTGCATGGAAGGAAAAGACCTAATTTTAATACAGATGCGCGCTCAGGATCTGAATTAGCGTCTTGCAAAATCAATGGCAAGCCTTGTGTAACAGCAGCAACAAATTCTTCATGAGCAGTAGCTCCTCCAAGTTGGAAATAGAAGGCTAATAAATCAATTACGCTTTTTCTTTGATCTGGAGATAAATGTATATCGGGAGTTCTCATAGCAAATTCAGCTTGAATGAATTCTGGTGTTTCTGTGCCTACTCCATGCTCATCCATCAAAGCAACGAAGAAATACCATAAAAAAGTCTGAGAATGTACTGTAGATTTAAGTATTGATCGTAAAAATGAGAATACTGAAAGATGTTGTATATGTTTTAATAAGTCAGGAAAAATCGAATGACTTGAATTGAAAATTGCAAACATTTCTCGCTCACTATCATTGAAAGCGTAAACGCATATCTGCATTATTGCTGTAATAATACTAAAATGAGGTTCTTCATCGCTTTTGAATACAGAGATAAGTAATTCTGTTGTTTTTCTATCGTGAGAAAGGCATCTTATCAGTGTTTTATTAGGAGAAGAGAATAAATCTATGATTTTTCTTGTTCGTTTCGGACTTTCTGTTGTATGTAGTAAGTTAATTAACGATGTAAAATTTTGTTTTGTTGTTAAAAACAGAATTAAGTCTTTATAATTCTTCATATAGGCAGAATACATATCAGGACAGTCTAAAACATCCTCTATTGTTATATTCGGCTGCGCTAGTAGCTGATCAAGAGCAGGAAAAGAAGAATTATTTGAAATCATACAAATTACCGATCATATTTTGAATGGATGTGTCAAATTTTGAGCATTGCCCCGTTCGAGCAAATTTTCATGTTATATGATATTATATTACATGTGAAAGAGTTATCATGGAAATTAAATAATATGGATCTCCTAAACTTTAATTCTAATTTGGATAAGTCTCGTCATTTTGAGTAGGGGTAATTTTAGCTAAAAGCGACACGCATGTAAAAAGTGACACACCCGTGAAGGGTGTGATTACCGATCGGTAATTTCGACAGTTTAGAATTTAAAATTTTTTATGGAACTGTTGCGAGTTTCATAAAGAATTTAAGGAATATAAGCAAAGATTTGAATCAAAATCTTAGACCTAAGCCGCTCGATTCGCTCGCGGCTTCCGCGAATTACAGATCAGCAAAGATTTGAATCAAAATCTTCGAACTAAGCCGATCGCTTCGCTCGCGGCTTTCTTTATTATTTTAAATTTGCATATTTCCATCAAAAGTTCATAAGGTAAAAAATTTCGTTTATTTTTACTAAGAAAAAAAAGGTTTTTGATAATAAATTTATTTTATTTCGAAAAAGTAGCAATAATCGTAAAAGGGTATTGATAGGCTTGCTAAAGTAACTAATTTTAGCTGTCAAATACTTTTGTATTTTGAAGTAAATTAGTATAAATTTGTTTTTACTTTTATTTCGAAAAAGTAACAATAATCGTAAAAGGGTATTGATAGGCTTGCTAAAGTAACTAATTTTAGCTGTCAAATACTTTTGTATTTTGAAGTAAATTAGTATAAATTTGTTTTTACTTTTATTTCGAAAAAGTAACAATAATCGTAAAAGGGTATTGATAGGCTTGCTAAAGTAACTAATTTTAGCTGTCAAATACTTTTGTATTTTGAAGTAAATTAGTATAAATTTGTTTTTACTTTTATTTCGAAAAAGTAGCAATAATCGTAAAAGGGTATTGATAGGCTTGCTAAAGTAACTAATTTTAGCTGTCAAATACTTTTGTATTTTGAAGTAAATTAGTATAAATTTGATATTATTTTAACTCCCTTTGAAAACCTCAATTTTCCATACAGAGGGAACGGGAATAGCATCCAATATTCCCTGAGAATGGTTGCGCATTCTCAGTTCCCTCTATATTTCGAACGAAGCTCTCATCGGTCTTTTTTTTAATACTAAACGTTTTTTTTTCCTGTCACTTTTAGCTAAAATTTGGGTTTGCCAATTCAATTAACATTTGATTAGGAGAATGGCCAAGAGTTATCTATATAGTGTTAGAAGATAAGTAAAACTACAAAGATTTTATGATTTTGGATAAATTGGGTTATAATTTACGTTTGTGTTAAATTCATTTATCAGTTTCTTAAACACCAATAAATAAAGAAGTATTACTAGCGTGCTCGATTTACAAATTTCAATGGGATGTAAATCACGGGCATTTTACTTTCCGATTCAATTTTTATATTATTTCAAAGGTACATTCACTAGGCGATAACAGTAAAATGGGATGAAAATAGGATAAATAGCATCCCTATATAGTGCCTAACAATATTTATACGGGCCAAAAAAAATTTGGCTAGAGATTTGGCGAGTTATAAAACTTAGAAAATTGATAGGGATTTTTATTTTTGAATTTTTTTTGGAAAGTTAAAATTGCGATTAAAAATCGATTTCCAGGAGAACTAAGCATCTCATTATATATTTAAATCGATAAGAATATTAAATAATAGTTGAATAGTATAACAACGTGAAATTATGGCTGAATCTACAGAAAAAATGAACATATTTGACATTTTTGAAAATTCATACGTTAGATGGTGACAGACTCATAAACTATACTTTAGCTAAGATTGATATATGGTTTCAACAACACATGGTTAAAATCGTAAAAATATTTTAGATTTCAAAAAGATATATATGGTAATATAATGGAACAAAGTCAACAAATAGCATGTTAAATATGTTATAATTAACTTTTTATTAGATCCAATAGTAGATATCGAATGGTTTCCAGCTTTATGGTTAAATATTTTCTTTTCGAGCTTCTCTTTAACTGTTGTATTAAGGTTGTAAATTTTTGATGCTAGAAACTATGGAATCTTCTTTGCTGGTGCATTTTTCTTGAGAGTTCTTGCAATTTCGAATAGATCTGCGCATTGTATGAAATGGAGGCTTTAAAATATCTTGAAAACAGAATAGGACTGCTTTTCCAAAGGAATGCTTACTTGTAAATCAGAGAGTTTCAAAATTGAGAGCAAGATTATCATCATAACTTTCGATTTTGCTGCGAAAAAGGAAGACAAGTAATTAACAAATCATTTACTGTAGTTCATCAAAAGAAGAAAACTTTGATAACAACTAATGATGATAAAATCAAGCTATCTTTTAATATTTTAAATTGATAAGACATTCAAAATATTTGAATGGTTTAAAATATTTTCTTTTAATTTCTCTAATATATTATCATGATTATATAATAAAATTTAAATTTTTATTCAAAAAGGCAATATTTCAAACTTTTAATTTCAAAAATCTTAATTCTGCAATAAGTGTATTTAATTGTAGCAAATTTAATGATCCTTCGTCATGCTTAGCAATTTGGAACTCATAAATTAATGATTTCTTCAAGTAAAATTCTGCATTATTTCAAAAGTCAATAATTCTCTAGTAACTTTTCTTCAAACCCTAACCATTATATTATATGTATAATGGAGAATAATTGCAAAGAAAGATAGCCGAATTTACTGGGTAGTTCTTGTGATGCGAAATAATTGCAAATTAACACCTAGTTTTAACAGCATCAATCTCTTTTTGCTCTCATTTAAATGCATTCGCACACTTTAATTTTGAAATATAAGAGTTTTGGAAATTATCAAATTTATCTGCTCAAATACTATAGATCTTCATAAGTGTTAATAGAATCATTAGCCTTACATATAGTGTTTAATATAATGATACACATTATACTGGGATTCATTCCTTATTCATCTAGTTATTATAAGATTTACAACCCCATGAAAATTTAAAATTTTGTCAAAAATAGTGAATGTACCTTTATTATTTCATATGAAATATACGTAGTCTATATTGGAATTGATTTTCATGATTGACACGTTAAACATGTATAACGATATTCAATTATTCTGAGTGTATGGCCTAGTCTTTTCTCAATTTTATTTTATCCAATACAGATATAAATAATATGTAAAATATAATTATTATGCATTCTAGCTATTTTTCTTCATTGTTTCGATCAAAATTTGGATCTTCACAAAATTTGATAATGCGATCTAAATTTATTTCAACTCATTTTCGATGAATAAGGAATACGAAAGAGCATGCATCAATGTCGATAAGATCAGAATCCCCTCAGTTGTGAAGCACTACAACATCGTGAAGACAATTGGAAAAGGAGGTTTCTCTGTTGTTGTCCTCGGAGTTCATCAAAAAACAGGTCAGAAAGTTGCGATCAAAATCATTGATAGAGAAGAAGTCTCCAAACAGCAGATCTTCTGTTACTTAGAAAACGAATTAAGGCTTATTTCTCGGTTCGATCATCCAAACATCGTTAAAGTCTACGATATTATCTACGAAGAAGACATAATAATGGTTGTTATGGAATACCTTGAATGTGGCGATCTCCAAAAGCTCGTATCTCAAGGCATTTTCTTCAACTGTCACGAGCAGATTACAATTGCTCTCCAAATCTTGAGCGCACTTTCTTATCTCCACAAAAGAGGTATAGCTCATAGAGATATCAAGCCAGAAAACATCTTATTTGATAAATATTACAATCCAAAACTGATTGATTTTGGCTTATCTCGAGAAAACTGCAACGCTTTAAAGACATTATGCGGAACCACAGATTATTTGGCCCCAGAAGTACTTAGAATGAAAGAGTATGATGGCAAGAAAGCAGATCTTTGGTCGTTAGGTATCGTTTTACACATTTTATCCTCTAATGCATTCCCATTTGATATCACAAGTGAAATTTCTCATATCAACAAGTTACAAAACAATACTTTGATCCTCAATATTTTGACACCGGGAAAATTAGGAATGGTTATTAAGAGTTGTCTTGAATTTAATCAGAACTTGCGCCTGGATTGTGACGAATTGATCAAAATGCTCGAAGAAAGCCGTCCAATCTTCTCTCATGAAACAATGAGAGAAACAAAAATTGTGGGATCAAAGTCAGGTCTCCCACAGTTACTTACAAGAAACAATACTCCTATATTAGTCCCAAGAGCCAAGCAGCATGAGATTATGCAGCTCGGAATGGGAAGAAAGAGAAGACATTTCTCCTCTTCATTATAAGCGTTAACCATGTGTATGTTATTTATAAAATATTTCTATCCTTGTTAATAGTTAGTATTTTTTACATGAGCTTTTTACCGAGAACCGAAATAATTTCCGATTCCATCTAAAACTTTGTCGTTTTATGAGAAAATACTTGCAAAAGTTTATTCTACTGCTAATTTAATTCCATTCGAGCGCAATAAAATTCTAAAAACTCTTATTTTACCGGTAACAAAAAAATCTCTGACACAGTGTATAATATGTAAAGCTTAATTTGATTTGTCAGACAGTGCTATCATAGTGAGGAAAATATCGGTAGGTTAATAATAATACATACAATCTATTTTATAAAAAAAAAATATAAAATATTAAAATTAAAACTCGACAAAACAGACGCTCGCATGCATAACGAGCTCTGATGGAACGTCGTGGTTTGATTCCACTAAGAGATAAAGCTTTGCTGAATCTTTCCAATTTTCAGGAGGATTTTGTTTCAAAAATTTCAACAAATCATCATAAAACTTCTTGTTTTCCGAGAAGAAGATAATGTAAATGACTTCTCCCCTATCAACACAATCAATTAATTGTGACATGCAGTTTCCTAATTCGGAGTTTTTATCAACATTATACTTTTCTCCTGTTGATAAACTCTTGATGAAATATTCCGCTGCATTTGCAATTTCATTGAAGTGTAAGATGTTGATTTTAGATGGAACAAACTCAGGAATTGTTATGCCTTTGAGCTGCTTGATTGTCCATCTGTGATGTGTTGTTAATGATTGTCCAATTGTTTGTAAAAGATGTTCGTATTGATTCGAATTTTCTGGACAACTTTTGAGGATTTTTGAGATTTTTTCAAATGGGAATAAGTATAAACTTGAGTACTCATAATAGTTTTGTATATCTGTAATAAATTCTTGTATCTTCTGTGCTGTTTCTCTGATTGCTTTGTTCTCAATTATGTTCCTTTCATAAACTTTTTTGATTTCGAGTAATCTCTTTTCAGTGTTGAAAACAACAATGGATTGAACTTGGACATCTTCAAGAACAGTGCTATCAGCAGAATGTAATCTATGAAGATCCTTTTCTAAACTCTGTATAGAGTTGTACAAACCCAATTTCTGTCCATGGGCAATTTGTTCTGTTTTAGTTAATTTTTCGAGATTTTGAATTGAACTTTCATTTTTAGAAATTGTAGATTCAATCTTTTCAAGTGGGATATAATTGCAATGGATAAATGTTACTCCTGTAGGAATATACTTGAGTGGTTTGTCAACAAAGAAAATCACTCTGAAGTTAGAATCAATTGATACTTCTCTGTCTTTTAAGGTGCAATGTTTTCCACTTTTTGAGGAAATTGAAGTTAAAAATTGACTGTCAATAGCTTCTTGATTTGCATGCGAAATTACCAAAACATTTCCAATTTCTGCGGCAACTCTTATGTCTTCATAGAAAGACAATTTATCAGGTGTTGTATAAGTAAAGTTGAATCTTCTTTGTAAAGCAGGAGAAGGATGTTTTGTGTCTCCTCCAACATAAGAAAATTCTGTCCCATGAGGATCATAACAACAAATTAATCTATCTCCAGAAATCAAAGACAAAATTAATGGATCATCAGTTCCCATGACATCTTTAAGTGAGATAAAGAATGTTGAATCAGCAAGATTATCATTAAATATTTGATTGACATTCTGCATAAATTGTTGTCTAATTGGTCCAGAAATCATCGGCAAAGTTGAGATTTCAACAACAGATTTCACTAAGAAATTTGTCAAATTCTTTCCATAAGTTTTTTCTCCATTAACGAAACGACTTAAATCTTCTTTTACATCAGGGAAAATACTTGCGGCTGCTTTAGCTTTCTCAAGGAACTCCTTTCTCTTTACTAAAGCACTTTGTTCTTCTTGCAATTTGATGGTTACTTCTTCTTTTCCTTTTTGATGCAATTCCAAGTCATCTTTCGCTTCTTTTATTCTTTGCAAAATCTTTTTGTATCCTTCTTCTCTCCTTTCTATTGTTTTTGTGTGTTCATCCATTTGTATTTGAACGGTTTGCTCAAACTTTGTTGATTTCGTGTGAGTTAAAACTGCTTGTAACCAATGTAACAAATACAAACAACATGAATCTTTGGGGAACTTCTCATCAACTAATAAAGGATCTTTCATTTTCACATCAAGATGGAGAGCAACTTCTTTTCTGATTGAATTCGGATCGAAAACTAAAAGAACTTTGTTGAATCTTCCAACTCTCAAGAAACCTCTTGCTTCTGGCCAATAATCTCCATCACTTCTTGGAGTGAATTCATGCAAAGCACAGAAGACATTGAACAAATGTCGGATTGGTTCAGGAGGATTCTGTTGGATGTAAAGTTTGTATTGTTCATCAGGAGTAAATGCTTTTGCAGCAATTTTAGTTATTTGATTGTAATTAGCTAAAGTAACAGCAGAATCATTTTTCTTGTATTTGTCATACAACTTCTCTCTTTGTTTAAGTTCTTCAAGTTCTTTCTCTAATCTTCCTTTTTCGTTCTCCAAACTTTGTAGAAATTGTTCTCTAAATTCAATTGCTTCGATGTGATTTTGCAAATAATTGGAGTCAATTTCGATTTGGGAAGTAATTGATAAAATGGAAAGTTCTGTGTCCTTAATAGCTGTTTCAATTGAATGAATAACAGACAAAACCTTTGTGGTAAATTGTCTTTTTGTTGCAATGAATTCGTTCACTGATTTCTCAAGGAATTTGTATTTTTGCAAAATCCTGTGAAACTGAGTGAAAATCGGAACAAAATACTTTGTTTTTGATGTCTTCATGAATAGGAAGATTTGCTTCAATAGTTGTATATCTGTATTTGGAACAATATGAGATCTATCCCATATATTGAACGCGTTCAATTTCTTTTGATCAATTTGATTTCTTTCTGAAATAAAAGTGACAAAATGTAATTTTCTAAACATGTGCATTGCAACATATCTAAAAGCATTTCCTCTTATTGTCAAGTTCTGTTTTGATAGTGTTGCAGAAGACCATATTTCGCTCATTCTTGAGCTCAATGACAATCTCAGTCTTCCACTAGTTTTTTGTGGAGAAATTTTGATTCTTTTCGGAGAATCTAATTTAATTTCTTCTTCTTGAGCTTCCATTTTCATTGATTCTTGTGAAACTAAGTTTGCATAAGGGAATTTACAAACAGTAAACAAAGAAGCAGTGATCAAATCATTCAAAGATCTTTCATTTGTTGCTTTTATGATGATTTCAATCATTGATGTTTTTAATTTATCGTAAAGCAATTCCATGAGATCATCAATTGGAGATCTCATAACTAGAACATAATGTTCACTTGCTGTTATTGCATTTAGAACAAGTTGCCAGATTTTGTCGATATTTGTAAATCTCTGAATTTTTGCATTAAGTAATTGACCACAAATATCGATTATGTACTCATAATCACAGCCTTGGTCATCAACAATCAATGGATGTGAGTAAGATGTTGTGAAGCAGTTCATTATGAAAGCTAAAAACAATTTTCCATAATCATCTAATTTGATTTCATCAAAATTATCATGTAATTTCGTTTGTATTAGTTGCATAAACTTCTGGTCTTCAGTATTCTGTACGAAATAGTCTATTTCATTCGAAGTAGTTATCATAAACTTTGGATCGTCGAAATCATTCTTCTTAAAATCAGGAATCAATTTGTTCAAATTATAAAACAAATAATCATTGTATCCATTTGTTGTTGGGTCTTTATAGTTAATAACTTTTCTAGCAAGCATACAAAGCAAATGAAGATTTCCACTTGTTTTTATCAAATCTTTAAATTCGTCAAAAACAGAATCAAAGTTTTGAATTGATTTTTGAATAAATTTGTTTGATTGTGGATCATGTCTACTTAAAATAGCTCTTGTGATGATCTCGTGAGCAATTAACTTGTAATCATCATTCTGATATTCTGGAATCTTGAACATGAAAACAGCGTCTTCGATTTGATGTTCACAAGTTTCTCCTGTCAAAAGGAAAATGTAATTCTTCAGTTTCGTGATGGAATTATGATAAATTATGGAGCCGCATTTGATAATTGACAAAAGGAAACCATACAATTCTGTGTCTGTGTTAGGAATAGGATCGAAAACAATAACAGTTGGTAATTTGTTTGTTGGTTCCATGACATTTTCAACTGAAACTGTTGAAATCGAATCCAAAAGATTCAAAAACCATTCTATATCAACAGAATTTCCATTGATTCTTATATTGAAGAAGTTTGGTTCAATGAAAACTGTATCACAGATATAGTTAATGATTGTTGTCTTTCCTGATCCTGGAGGTCCCAATAAGAAACAAGAAATTTTCGATTGCAACATGATCGTCAAATTTTTGACACTTTGAATAAATTGCATACAAGGAATGTTTGTGAATTCAATTGGTCCGCAATGTGTTGCAGAGTACTTGTCTAAGAGAGTCTCATCGTTTATTGCTAAATCATGAGATTTATTTATCTCATAAACTTCTAAAGGTTTAAATGTTAATCTATAAGAATAATCAATTATATCTTTCTTGATGAAATGATCTATTTCTAACTCGTTTTTGATTTCTTTCGAATATTGTCTCATTTCATTAATGTTTTCGTAATAATTTGATCTTGACCAGAAAATTGCAAAAGCAATGATCAAAAACAAATAATTTTGGCTGTCAGGTCTAAAAGTGTTTCCAAAACAAGTAAATATCTTAAAGAAAGATTGTAGTTGCAACGAATTCTTTATCAATTTCGTGCAAACAGTTCTTACAATATTCTGCATTTCTTCATCCAATTGAATGTTATCGTTAATGATCCAGAAGTTCAATAGATCAGAGAAAGAAACTAATGGTTGTGTAAATGATACAATTGGAATAGAAATAGGTGAAGCATTGACAACTGGATTCATCAATTCAAAAATAATAACTGTGTTTGATCCAATTGACATCAATGAATTATTTCCTTCGCAAACCATCGAATTCTCATTTATTGATATAGAATGATACATGAAAGGATTTGCGAAAGGAACTAATAAATGATAAACACAATCTTTCTCATTTGATTGCACTAAAACAGTTGTTAAAATACTGACCCATTCTTCACTTGTAAAAGCGAGATAATGATAATTCATTCCCAAAGAAAGAGAAGCAGCTTCAATAACTGTTGATGTTCCTGAAAAAGGAGGTCCACTCATCAAGAAAACATGTTGTTTTGTATTGATAAGTTCTGTAATCTTGTCAAAATTATACTTGAAAAGTTTTGTTTGGAGCATGTTTTTTCCGACATTTAAAGTTTTCTTTGGAGTTTTCATCATCATTTCTTCGAATTTTATCAATGAAATTACATCAGGAGGAACGACTTGTTTGAAGTTCGAAAGGAAGTCAAACTTAAGAGTTTTCCTTGAGTTATCAAATGAATAATCAAAATATTGCTGAAGCAAATAAGGATGAATGTATTTTGTCAAATTATTCACAGTGAATTTGACATCATTTTGTTGGTTCTCAAACATCTTCATTCCAATGAATTCCAAGTGTTTGTTGTAGTTATCTTTATCCAAAAGTATGCTGTAGCACATCGATTGTATCAAGTCAGAGATGTATACACTCGTTGCCGTGCAAAAGAACTGTTTTCCTCTGTTGATTATTGAAAGATCTAATAATTGACTTTGTTTGAGAATCTGAATTTCATCGACACAAACAAAAACATTGATTTGTTTGAGAATATCTATTAGTTGTTGTATTCTAAAGATAGGCATCGATGGTGTTGAATGGATTAAAAGCAAAGAGCGTCCTGAAAAATAACAAAACATCTTCACGCACAAAATGAAAATTGATCCTAGTTGAGAATGAATTAAAATTGGTTTTGCTGTCATCAGTTTTTCAATAATATCGCAAAAGATATCATGAAGGAATGGAGAAAACATTGCTGTTTTAACTGATGATATCTGAAATGCATAATTAATTGCTCCTTTTTCAGTTTTAAGTGAAACAATTTGATTGTTTCTGTCAATTTCAGCTTTAATTGGATTTTTCACTGATTTCAGAGTTTCTTTATATGAATTTAATATTGTTCTTTGCTTGTCAGGTATTGTATTAATATCTAAATCAATATTATTATCAACAAAGATTGCTAGGATCTTTAATTGTAATGGTAACTTGGAAAATTTTGATCTGTCATCTAAGAAATTGAAGAACAAACTTTTCATTGTATTAATGATTTCGTTTTCAATTATTGGAACTTGTGTAATTAAAGGACCAGAGATATTGATTGCATTAGTAAATTCTATTGATTCCTCAGTATCAAGAATGATTCCTTTAATGATTTTATCTTCATAAATCCACTCTTCAATTCCTTGAAAAACAATAGAAAGAACAGAAATTTTTGTTTTGATGTCATCACTAAACGTTTCAATGATTTTGATATCAGGAATCAATGACATTCTCGGAGAAATTGATCTAAATGATATAATAACTTCAATGAATTTAGTTCTCAGTTGGATTGCGCTTGATTCTGTTGTCTTTAATCCCATAACAAATTCATTATTTTCAATGAAATCCAAAAGTAATGGATCATTTCTGATTTCAAGGATGAATGACATCCAATCAGATTTGAGTTGATTTAACAGTTTTAATTCAGAGTACATTGCACTCTTGATCTGTTGATCAACATCAGGTAAACTTAGGGGACTTAGTAACAATAAATGTTCTTGTAAAGAAACAAAATTATCAACGACATGAAGCATTCTTACAATTTTTCGATGGAGTTGGATTGCAATATCATTTTTAACTCCCGTTAATTGAACTCCATAAATGATGTTCTTCAAAACTGCTTGGTTATATTTCAAATCATTTATCATTTGGTCAGCATTTGAAATATAATTATTTTCATCGATTTCTATTTTCATTCCATTCATTGTATCTCTTACATCAATTAGTTCGAGTTCTGCTTTATCTTCATTCTTTGATTTGTTGTATAAATCATTGATTTGAGGAATTTTCTCGTTGATATTCATTTCATTAAATTTATTGATTGTCAAATTTTCGAAATCTTTTCTTCCAATTATTCCTTCTAAAACTACTCTGTTATGTGGTTTAATTTTATCCGAAAGGATCTGTGCAATCATCTTAAATATAGGCAGTATATTCTCTAAATCATTCTTCACAGATATTAATGCTTTCAAAGAGTTCTGATCTTTTGCAAACTCTTTAGTTAGTTTGCGTAAAGTCAACAACCAACTATTTATGTCATTTTTGATTGAATTCACATCCAAATCTTTGATTTTAATGTCATACCATTTCTTCAACATTTCTTGGTACATTGTGATAATCTTCCAGAGTTTAACTCTTGTTTCTTCTTCTGTGAATTCTTCTTTCTTGGTTTGAAGTTGGCCCTGAATTTCTTGAATTTTTGCCATTTTTTGATCCAAAATTTTCAAGTATTTAATTTTTTGATCTCTAAAATGAGAATTTGTTTCTTTTCTCAAATCTTCTTTTGTCTTAGTTTGCTCACTCTTTATCTGTTCAATTAAAGAAGGAATGTTCTCTACGTATTCCCTTCCAATTGTGTTAATTTGAGTAATTGCTTGACCTAACTCAATATCAATCAAAAGAGGCCAGAATTCTATGTTCAAAATGTTAGAAACTGTTTGAGCATCTAGTCCATAATATAAGTCATATAATAAGTTATATAATTTCATGATATAATCTGCTTCTTTTTCAAGTTCTTTCCTTGTTTTTGGTAATTCTTCTAATATCTGTTTTTTCGTTGACCATTGTTCAGGAGTTGTGATTTCCTTCTTAAATGATTTAATTATATTGTCATACTTCTTATTGAGTTGGGCAATTTTCTCGTCTAAATCTTTAGATACAATTTCTAAAGTTGTATTTCTCTTCTTTTCAACACAATCAACAATTGTGTTTCTGAAATCTTCGAAATTCAGTTCAAACAAACCTAAATTAATGAAAGCTGGGAAATGCTGATAAAAGAAATCTTTTTCTGGCATCAATTTAGATATATACTTATAAGTATCATCAATCTTTGGGATGTAATCTGTTTCAAAATGATCAAATATATTTGAAGTTTCTTCTTGCATAATTGGAAATGCTTCATTCACATGTTTAATGTGAAAATCAATCATTTTATAGATTGTTTCTTTGTAGCCAATTAAATAATCATTAGTAATATTTGTATTTATGACTCTTGTTGAAGGAATTAGTTCTTCTTTTTTGTTTCTTCTCATGAAAATTTGGAAAGCGGATTCTTTTTTGTTGTCTAAATCAATTGGAATTGTTCTTTCAAATATAATTGAAGAAGGATTGATTGTATCTGGTAAAATTGTTGTTATCATTCCATATAATTGCTTCAAAATATCAATCATTTCATTCTCTTCGTTTCCAAGATCAATGATAAACATTGGTTTGACAATCGAAATATTTTTGTCAGAAATAGAGGAAGATAAAGTTGTGAAATCATCTAAACTTATATGAGAAGGTTCTAATGGCTTCCAATTATAATCCAAAATTTGTTCAAATATTGTTTGATTGTAGTCCAAAATATCTAAAATTAATTCTCTAACCATTAATTGAACCTTTTTGATAAATCGGTGAAAAGTGCTGTCTTGTGGAGTCAAAAATTGATAATAAGGATGGATAATTGAATCACTAATTACCTCCGCATTTTTATTATCATCTATTATTCCATTCAAACTAGAAATAATCAATTTTGCAATACCATCAGAAAATTCTTTCAAATCATTTGACAACCAATTTTTGAAGTCATTTATCAAAGGAATCCAATCTTTTATCAAGAGTTTTTTACCTTCAATGAAATGCTTAAGTTTATTTGAAATCAAATCCTTTTCATCAAGTACTATTACATTAATCTTTTGCGTTAATTTCAAGAAGATATCAAGATTTATTGTAATTGGCAAATTAATTAAATTTTCTAAACTTTCTTTGAAATCTGTCTGGAAAACCAAAGATTTCTTTATTTCCTTTGGTGTGTAAATATTAATATCAGCACCTACACTATTGAGTACATCAACAGCATAATCGATTTCTCCTTTCTGAATATCACCTCTAACAGCAAACATTTTTTGGACTCTTTCTGCAACTTGCAAAGCATCTTGAGGCATTTTCTTTCTAAATTCTGGTCTTATAAATGATAAATAATTATCATCATCCAATGTATCTAAGAACTCATCTGTTCTTGTTTTGTTTTCAAACTCATTTCTGATTTTTTCTGCCAATTTCAATCTTTCAACAATTTTTTCTTTGTTTTCATCATTAAATCTGATATTAAACCTGGAAACTTCTTTCACTAATGGTCTTTGTGGATTAAATATACTCTTTAAGTCTGGTATTTGTACAACGAATGTATGTGAATCTTTTTTGTACTTCAATACTTTGCATTTATGCCAATTTTCTTTTCCAAACTCAATTATTTTTGTTTTAGCCATTATATTCTTTTCGCCATTCATTACACGCTGTTCATCACTAGATAATCCGTTGAAGCAATCGAAGAAGTCTAATGGAAGCTTGTCTGGTATCTCACTTTTCACTTGGATCTTTGGAGGAACAACAAATTTATGACATTTTTCTGTCATGATTTGTAAATTTTTCTCAATTTGCTGAATGTCTTGTCTTTCAATTGGTTCGTCCCAAGCAACAACAGGACCGACTTCTTTTGGTCTTGCTGATAATGGCCCTGCTTGTGAGGCTCTAATTGTTTGTTTGAATAATCTTGGATTTGTTGGAGCAAAATTTTCGGTTTCAGGTGGAGAAATTTCTTGTTTTGTAACAATTTTTCCTAGAGTGGATTTGAATTTTCTTGCTTTCTTTTTCGATGTGCTTGAAGGTGGTTTTGGTTTGGGATTATTAAAATCTGCATCTCCAAGTTTTGTATTTCGGGATCTTTCGTTGATAGTCCTGGTGGTTTTGTGCTGTACTTCTTCTTGGAGCTTTTTAAATGCTTTCTCAAACCGATTTTGGTGCGAATGCATCCAAAACCTTTAAAAATGTAGCCGTTTACAAATTTTCCAAAAAAAATTCAATTACAGTCTGCCATTAAAGTCAAACTGTAATAAACAGAAATTCATCAAAAGTGACAGCTCTCAATTTTTTGACATTTGTAAATTCTAAATTGAATGAGAAAAATGAAATAATACTAAGCATAATACAATATTCTAGATTTAATTATAATTAGGAAAAAGTTAGTTTTGAGAGTACTTTTCATAGGCATATAGAATGAAATCTTCTGAAAAATAATATCACATAAACTCATATTATTTTCTAATATATAACTATTTTATATAAAAATCAAATTCAATGATCTTAAAAGCGAAGGATAAACCTCAAAATTTACGAATATAATGAGTGGGAATATAATGCTTATCTATCATAAAACCATATGAAATATCAATTTTTGCTTTACGCCTAATTTTTGACGACAATTAGCAAAAAATGTTAAATGTTAACACTCAGTCCATTTGAATATGAAAAATAAAATTGACTTTGATTAAATGTTTTTATTTATCATGCAATTCTTCTTGCGACCAAAGATTTGAATAAAAGTTCAAAAAATAAGATAGCTTAAAAAATAATATACGGTAGTGTTTACTAATAGATGAATAGTATATAAATTCTATTAAAATGGATTTGATCCAAAAAATATATAAAATTTGATCATAAATAAAATTGTTTAGTAGTCATTTTAAAATGATGTAATTATTCAAATTTTGCTAAGACCCATTCGTCTTTGATATATAACTCCCATTTTTGCATTTCTGGCTCGTACCAAAATTTGAAACTTCGAATAATTCGTTAGGAGTGTAATTACTATTCGTTTTTGGATTAATATCGAGAGATAAATGTGGTGTATTGTTGTATTTTTCAATGAACTGCTGAACTGAGTCCTTGATTTGTTGAATATCATCCAACTCGTCTGGCAAAAACTTTTCTAAGCTTGGCCACAGGCGCTCCACCTTGCCGTTCTGTCTTGGCATATACGGCAAGGTGTGCTTCCAAACTATTCCGTTTTCCTTCATAACCTGGCCGAATTCACCGCGGTTTTCACCGCCGTTATCGGTCCAGATGCAGTAAGGAATAAACTCCTCTAAAAGTTTCTTAAAACCTTCGCTGTTGAGTTGGAAGACTTGTTTTTCAATAATTTAGTTTTGAGAACTTTACGTGTCATATCATCCAATATGGCAAAAAATGGAAAAGAAACATTACCGTGAAGGTAATGAATATCGCAGTGCCATATCAAATTCTTTGATATGGCACGATATTTGGTAGGTGGATCTGCTGGTTTGTAATCTCTTTTTGAAGATAAACCTGATTCCATCATAAATTTTTCCACTTGATGATGCTTTATTTTTTGTAAATTGTCAAAAATTTGATCTTTTGTCAAATCTTCTATATTTTCAAATTCTTTTGCAATTTCTTCTTTTTCTTTCTCACAATCGGGATTTTGAGCAATATTTTGAAACCTTTTAATCAATAAATAAGTTTTTGAAATTCCTCCTTTATATTGTGAAACACAAGAATTAATTAATTGTTTTTGCTCAAATGTTGGTGGATTTGGTTTTCTGCCGCGACTAACTTTTGGTAATTCGATTTCTTGAAGTTGAAATGCTCTTCTTATTGTATTTTCGGCAACATTCAATTTAATTTTACCATTTTCCAATTCAACTTCCTTTCCCACACTTTTGTAAGATTCACCTTCTTCTATTCTTCTTTTAGCTTCAAATAGCCATTCTCTGCTTATAGATTTGGCAGTAGTCATAAAAGTGGTCCTTCTTTTGTGATAAGATTCAAATTTGAATGTGGATGATAAATAAAAATCAAAAATAATTGTTATAATTTAAATGAAGAAGTAATTTAAAACGATTTTATTTATGATCAAATTTTATATATTTTTTTGGATCAAATCCATTTTAATAGAATTTATATACTATTCATCTATTAGTAAACACTACCGTATATTATTTTTTAAGCTATCTTATTTTTTGAACTTTTATTCAAATCTTTGGTCGCAAGAAGAATTGCATGATAAATAAAAACATTTAATCAAAGTCAATTTTATTTTTCATATTCAAATGGACTGAGTGTTAACATTTAACATTTTTTGCTAATTGTCGTCAAAAATTAGGCGTAAAGCAAAAGTTGATATTTCATATGGTTTTATGATAGATAAGCATTATATTCCCACTCATTATATTCGTAAATTTTGAGGTTTATCCTTCGCTTTTAAGATCATTGAATTTGATTTTTATATAAAATAGTTATATATTAGAAAATAATATGAGTTTATGTGATATTATTTTTCAGAAGATTTCATTCTATATGCCTATGAAAAGTACTCTCAAAACTAACTTTTTCCTAATTATAATTAAATCTAGAATATTGTATTATGCTTAGTATTATTTCATTTTTCTCATTCAATTTAGAATTTACAAATGTCAAAAAATTGAGAGCTGTCACTTTTGATGAATTTCTGTTTATTACAATTTCACAGAAAAGAAAGATCTGGATCATAATTTGAAACTGATTTGTAATTTTGATATATTGATATTTGTCATTCATATTTCAAAATACATGTTTACAGCATCTATATTTGTTTTGACTTTCAGTCAAAAAATATATTGGAACCTCAAAATTGATAATCTTGATTTGAAAGAATTTGATGCTAATGATATGATGAGTACAAAACAGAATTCTCAATCGATTATTCATAACTATATGAATTGAATTGCATAATGTAAATGGAGCTGAGAAGATGATAACAAATAGGCAATGACTGAATGTATTTTACAAAGTACCTTCTATGATGGATGATAATTTTCTCTAGCAAATGTCAATCCACAAAACAAAATTTAAATTATTAAAATCTGGAGTCCAATTTGTGTTTTCCTGGTATCGCTATCAATCGCCTGGGATGAAAAAATCTTATGGAATATTTTTTATTGTTGTAATGTCATTTTTAAGAGAAGCACAATAAAAAAATCAATAAGTCGATTTTTGCAAAAACTTGTTATAGACCGAAAATAGATTTTTTTTCGGTTTTCTCTTCAAATAATTGAAAGAATGATACTATTATAGGTTTATTATATTATATAGCATATAATCATGCTATAGCCGAAAATTATAAGTTTTGAGAAGATTGAATATAACACAAATAAATTTGAATGTAAGTTAAATTGCTTGTTGTTTTTAATAGCTATTTAATGAGAAATCCAATATTGCAAAATTCAAATTGAATGATTGAAAGAACAGAAAAAGTCATTCTTTTCAATTTCGAATATGTTTCGTTGTATTTATAATTATATGGCAAATAAGATATTTAAACTTGATTTTTGAAGGAAAATTCACAAAATTGAATAAATTCAAATAATTTTTATTCAAAAATAAACTAGTTATTTGAGTTTAATACTAATTATCTATTCAAACTACAAAGTTTGTAATTTAAAATATTTTGTGAGATCAGATTGAATTAATTCAAGGTTCTTTTCAATTAATATTTATGACCATATTACGCATTTTCGAACATTCTAAACCAAATATATAAAAATGGGAGATGAATGTTAAATTTGCTAGACATGGGGGAGTTGTCTGCAAAGTTTTAGCTCTTATCTCTAACAAAAAATTAATTTTTAAAAAAATGACCGAATACGTTTCACAGCGAGAAAAAAAATAAAACTGTACACTGATTTTCATTTTCATTTCCAGTCACTTTACTTATTATTTTCTTTTTTTCATTTTAATTATAAATTATTTCATAATACGTTTATTTACGTTACCATTTTCTTTATTCTTTTGAAGTCCATACTAGACACTTATAGAATATTTTGATTGTTAACGTACTTCATTAGAATGAATCCTTACAAAGGGTATGTCGATCGAATTTACCTAATTGGTATTTCCAATCAGATTTGAAGAAGGTAAAATGACATGGAAGAAGCTTGCACCCATGTTCCCATCGCCCCAACCCTTCAATCAAATGATTTCAAATATTTAGATGTTTCAAAATCTTTTTTACAAAATCAAATTAGCTTACAGAATATCCCATTGCCTAAAGGCAAGAAAGGTCGTAGGGTCAATCCCTACGACCAAATCAAAGCTCTTGCTGTGATACATGACCACTGGGCCTTTCCCTGTGGTCAAACAAAACAATGGAAACGTTTGAAATTACAACAAATTGATGTATCTTATAGAGAAGTACGCAGATACTTCAAAGAAAATCATTTCACCAAGACGCGATTAGAGCATGTCGGGCCAGAAACAGCAGTAAGATATTGGGCGCTTTCACCCAATCTTATCTGGCACGCAGATGTTCATTATTTTAGGGGTGTTCGTGGCCAGTATATTTATGGCATAATCGACGATTTTAGCCGCAAAGTCCTAGCGTGTATACAAATACCAGATATGCTGGCAGCGACGACAGCGAACATTGCGGCTTCCGCCTTCATTGAATTTGGCGCCCCTTATTGTTTCTGGACCGACAACGGTTCAGAAAATAGGGGCGCCTTTCAAGATCTACTTGATCTTTGGGGCGTCCAATGGCGGCATACAGACTCTCATTCTCCCTACCAAAATGGGAAGATTGAGAGATTCTGGCCGACATTGGAGCGCTGCCAAAGCATTCAGGCTATTCCTGCCTTTATTTGGGAGTACAATAATAACACACCGCATGAAGATCTCCCAATTAATCCATTAACTGGAACAAATTACACGCCAAATCAAATGTATCAGCTGAAACCGAAATACACAAATGCAGATACAGAAAGGTTGTGGCAAATATGGGATACAGATACAGGCATGACCGCTGTTGACACATTCACAGCGTAATAATAAACATAATTTTTTAATTTCATTTTTAACAAGTTTTTTTAAATGTATGTAATGAATAATTCATTAGAAAGTTAGTATACATATCAGGGGTACGGCGGCACTGCGCGTCTCCTTACCCATTATATGTGAATTTGACACTTTACAAAACCGTTAACGTATATTTTACAACACTAACAACTTCACTAACGAATTCACTAATGTTTTCACAAACGACTTCACTAATGTAAAAATAAACGTTCTCACTTACAAAAGTATTGCAACCCCTCCCATTGCTGTGCTTCATATAACAGCTCATAATCTTCTGACTCACTTTCTTCTTCATATAGGTCAAAATCACTGTCATAGTTTATACCTGTAAGTTTTGACAAAGCTAATGAAACACGCTTACCGTTTGTATCATATGCTTGTATAAACTTTCCATTATGCTTGTAGTCATAAACGCTCAAACTAACTTTACCCTTTCTCCCTCGTATCTGATAGAATGTATTTTCACGAGGAACGAAGAACAAATTCTTGAACTCATGACCGTTGTAGTTTGTTATCTCAATAGTTTTCGTCATTTACATCCAAATAAATTAAAAAATAAAATAAAAAAAATAAACTTAAAAATTAATGATATCACCACCCTCACACGTATGAAAACATAGCGCAAAAATAAATTTAGGTGAAGCGGTGAGATCTCACCTCTTTTTTCACCTGTTTTTTCACCCTGTTGAATTCATTGCTTTATAACTCTCTTCCTTTCTCCAACTCTTCTAACTTCTTCCTAAGTTCAGCAATGTTGTCCTCATGAAGTTTAATCTTTCTCAAATTCCTTCTCTATCTAATGGTTGCTTTATCTTTCTAAACTGAACTCTACCATCCTTCATAGTATGAATGTAAAAACCTTCCGGAATAGTTCCTGATTTAATGTATTCTACCAAAAACTTTTGTTTCATTGCTTCAGTGACTTTATTTGTCATTTCAATCAAATAAAAATTTTAATATTAAATAAAAATAACGTTATTTTTTAGTAAGGAAACGCAGGAGTTTTACGATTTATTTGAGGAGTAGGTTCTGGTTTAAATGTTGGAGTCGGTTTAGGAGTTGACTTTTGAACAGGAGTTTGTACTTCCATAGGTTCAGGAGTCATTGAAGGTTTTGCTTGTGAAGGCGTTGGAGTTTGTTTAACTTCAGCTACTTCAGTATTATTTACAACATTTGCTTTATTTCTTTTCAACATCATAACTGCTCCTGCTGTAGCTAGCAAACCTAGTGGGAGACCATATCTTATATAAGGACTTGACCAAATGCTATTTTTGACAGGAGCTGGTGGAACACCTAACCTTGGTGAGACTGCTCTTTGCCATTGTGCAGCTCGTAAGAAATATTCAATAGGTGCTCCATAATCGTTTGGTAAAGTTTGTTTCATAGATGGTGAAGGTTCACGAGAGCTTGATGAAGAACTCATTTATAAGCTTTAAAAATAAACGTTCATCCTTTATTCCTCACTGTCGTCCGTAGCTAAGTTATAGTCATCTAATCTTATTATGGGGATGCCATTAGCACGCACCTGAATGGCAAAGCAACAATCCCTCATAAATCCAATAAGTGGCTTTGGTACATTTTCAGTTGCTAGTTCAATAGGTCCTTTAACAGACAATTTGTATGTTATTGGAGCAGTAGATGTTTGACCTTGCTGGAAGCAAAAGTCCACTTCTGTTGGAAAACCACATAAGAAATGTGTGTTGTCATAGCTATCCCATTTATGTTCCACACTACCATCATCCACCAATGACCTCATAACATCTTCATTAAATCCTATCATATCATTGTTTGTATTGCAAGCGTTCGCAACCATTTCATAAAATACAGGTCCATATGATTTTTCAGGTTCTGCAGGCATATTTCCATAAGCTCCCATGGAAAGCTGAAGATATTTAAACTTAGGGTTCT